TCGTCCTTCCACTGCTCCTCAGCGTGTCCCCCTGCCATCTCCTCCTGCGTCCTCTCTTCCTGCTCTTGCTGACCCGGAGTCTGACTCCCTTCGTGCTGCCAGTCCTACTGTCACGCGTCTCCTCGCCACTGTTGTCACTGACCCTACCTTTGAGTCCTCCGCTGCGTCTGCTCTAGTCGCTGAGTTAGTTGACTTTGCTGCCGCTTGTCGTCTAGACTACGCCGCTAGCCTTGTTGCTGAGTCTGAGTCTGTCTGTCCTCCGTCCGTCGGGGGTGAGTGTGCTCTTGGCACGGACGTCCTTGAGGACAGGCAGGAGGAGTTTGAGTGCTTTGCCGCTGCTTTGCCCCATCTCGTGTCCATACCGATTGCCCCTGAGGGAGACCCGGATGCACCAGACATCCCGACTCCGAGCTCTTACGTGGAGGCGATAGAGGGTCCCTACTCCTCTCAGTGGCAGTCAGCCATGGACGCAGAGATGGCTTCCTGGAAGTCCACATGCACCTACGTCGACGAGGTTCCCCCGCCTGGGGCGAACATCGTCAGTGGCATGTGGATTTTCAGGGTGAAGCGGCCGCCGGGTTCTCCACCTGTCTTCAAGGCGCGTTACGTGGCTCGAGGCTTCAGTCAGCGAGAGGGAGTTGACTTCTTCCAGACCTTCTCCCCGACCCCGAAGATGACCACTCTTCGGGTTCTGCTGCACATCGCCGCTCAGCGTGACTACGAGCTTCACTCTCTCGACTTCAGCACTGCGTTCTTGCAGGGCAGCCTGCACGAGGAGATCTGGCTGCGCCGCCCACCTGGCTTCACTGGGTCGTTCCCTCCTGGCACCCAGTGGAGCCTCCGACGGCCAGTCTACGGTCTCCGCCAGGCACCCCGTGAGTGGCACGACACACTGAGGACTACACTTGCTGCTCTTGGTTTCGCTCCTTCTACTGCTGACCCGTCGCTGTTTCTACGCACCGACACCACTCTGCCGCCGTTCTACGTTCTTGTCTACGTAGACGACTTGGTCTTTGCTACTGCTGACACTGCGGCACTCGCCCACGTGAAGTCGGAGCTGCAGAAGAGACACACGTGCACAGACCGGGGTGAACTGACAAGCTATCTTGGCTTGCGGATCACCCGGGACAGAGCACAGCGCACCATCACCTTGACTCAGTCACACATGGTGCAGCAGGTCCTTCAGCGCTTCGGCTTCACGTACTCCTCGCCTCAGGCCACTCCTCTGCCTACCGGTCACTCGCTCTCAGCTCTGCCTTCGGATGAGTCCGTAGAGCCGAGTGGCCCGTATCCAGAGCTTGTGGGCTGCCTCATGTACCTGATGACCTGCACTCGACCTGACCTAGCATACCCTCTTAGCATTCTCGCACGCTATGTCGCTCCTGGTCGTCACCGAAAGGAGCACATGGATGCAGCTAAGAGGGTGTTGCGCTACTTGTGCAGTACGTCGGGCATGGGGCTAGTGCTTGGAGGACGGGCTCGAGTTGTCCTCACTGGGCACTCAGACGCTTCTTGGGCTGACGACCAGGCTACTCAGCGGTCGTCTCAGGGTTACACCTTCAGCCTTGGCTCTGGTTCAGTTTCTTGGCGTTCTACTCGCTCGTCTTCAGTTCTCAGCTCCAGTTGTGAGGCTGAGATCTACGCCACAGCCATGGCTGCACAGGAGCTACGCTGGCTCACCTACCTGCTCACTGACCTGGGAGAGCGGCCTCGTTCTCCTCCAGTGCTATACGTTGACAACAAGGCCACCATTGCCTTGTGTCAGGAGCACAGACTGGAGCATAGACCGAAGCACATCGCTCTGCGCTACTTCCTTGCTCGAGAGCTGCAGCAGCGCGGTCAGCTTCGTCTCGCTTACGTGGCCACTCGGGCCAACACTGCTGATGTGTTCACCAAGGCACTCCAGCCTTGTGATCATCAGCGCTTCTGTACTGTTCTAGGCCTGGTGCCCACTGGGCCTCACTTGCTTACTTCTTGACTCTGTTTGTACTGTGATCTCTATTTATATACCTGCATGCTTACACCTGCTAGGTTGTGATCACTGTACCTCTTGTTATATTATCAACCTGCATGTGAACTGGTCTTGTGACCACTTGCTTGTGCTCAGAATTTGTGTGGTTTCCTTGAGATCCACCCTGAGCTTGCTTTGCCTTGCTTTGACTGGTCTTGTGACCATCTGGTTGTCTCCCACTTAGCCTATGGGGGTGTGTCAAACATTATACATGTTTATATTGTGTAGGCTATAGTGGGTTTAGCCTTAGGGGGTACAACTTTGTTAGGGTTTCCTACTTGTATCCCCCTCATGCCTAGTTTCATCATTCTCGTTCGTTCTAAGATTCTAACAATGTGGTTCGGCGCGTGGTAAATTGACGTGGCAAATACATAGCAGTCAGTCACTTAGTTACCGACACTAGATTTTTTTCATCCTTTATTTTTTTATATATAGAGGATGAAAAAAAAATGTACATAACGATTGTAATAGGTTGCTTCGCAACCCAAAAAAAAGAATTGTTCATATCGCCTCGCATAACCTCTTTTGCTGCCAAATATTGTCGTCAAAGCTCGGTTCACGAACTGTGAGCGTCTGCCAACGCTACGGCGGCCTTCACCTCACCAGCGGAAAACTGCCTTTCTGGTTCTCGTCTGCAGCGTTGGCTCGCTACCACAAGCTTTTTGTGAATCGCTTCGCACCGTTCTCAATCGTTCGTAATCCTCCAATTTGCTTCACCGAATGCCTCTTTCTCAGCGAACACCTTTCTGCTATCCTGTTTTCCTCTCTCAAGCTGCCTTGAATTCCTTATCTCCTCGCCATGATCACCGCGGTTCGTTCACTGAGACTCCCTGCTAGTAGGCTAACAGGAGGAAGTCTCGTGCGCCCTGAGGAAGACTTCCTCCTGCGACCCACCCACCTCAGCGGCCCCCTGCATAGGCTAACCACACCACAGGGCTCGTGCGCACTAACTACAGGGCTCGTACACACTAACTACAGGGCTCGTACACATTAACTACAGGACTCGTACACACTAACCACATGGCTCGTACACACTAACTACAGGGGTCGTTCACACTAACTACAGGGCTCGTGCAGACTAACCACAGGGCTCGTACACACTAACTACGGGACTCGTACACATTAACCACATGGCTCGTACACACTAACCACAGGACTCTGCCTTAAGGCAAGCTAACCACAGGGCTCACTAATGACAGCTAACTTCAGAGCTCGACTCTTAGCTACAGGGCTCGTACAAACTATCCACGGGGCTTGTAGAATCAAGCACACTAGTTACAGGGCGTGTGAAACCAAGCACACTAACTACAGGGCCTGTAACATCGAGCACACTAATCACAGAGCTTCTGAAACACAGTACAAGGATGACAGGGCTTGTAGGATCGTGCACAGCACACACTAACTACAGGGGCATGTGAAACCAAGCACACTCATTACAGGGCTTGACGAATCGAGCACACTAACTACAGGGGCATGTGAAACCAAGCACACTCATTACAGGGCTTGACGAATCGAGCACACTAACTACAGGGGCATGTGAAACCAAGCACACTCATTACAAGGCTTGACGAATCGAGCACACTAACGACAGGACTTTGTAGATTGAGCACACTAATCACAGGGCGTGTAAAACCAAGCACACTAACTACAGGGCTTGTAGAACCAAGCACACTGATTACAGGGCTTGTGAACCAACTACTGGGCTTGTAGGAATGATCACACCTAAGTACAGGGCCGTACGAAACCAAGCACACTAACTACAGGGCTTGTAAAATCGAGCACACTAACAGCAGGGCTTTCGTATTGAGCACACCGGCCTTGTGAAACGAAGCACACCAACTACAGGGCTTGCAAAATCGTGCACTTCAAATACAGGGCATCTAGAATGAGCACATTAGTTTCAGGACGTGTGAAAGCAAGCATACTAACTACAGGACTTCCACAATCAAGCACACTGATTACAGGTCTTGTGAAACCACGCACAATAAGTACAGGGCTTCAAGATCAAGCACAGTGACTACAGAGCTTGTAGAAACGAGCACACTAATTACAGGGCTTGTAGAATCACACACCTTTGCAAGCAAAAACCACAGGGCTGGAGCAGGGTATGCTACAAAGCTACTGGATCAGAGCACATTAACTTGGCTCATGGAAGTTTGACACAGTGTTCAACCACAGTACCATAACTCCAGAGCTTGCGTATCAGGGTAGCCCAATATTGGGGAAATGGGCATTTGCTCCACAGTGTCATCGTAGGCCTGAAAGCTTTTATTAGATTAGACCATCAGAGTTCGTAGGCCAATAACATTAGCTGATGGATCACCTGAGCTTTTGAAATTGCCCCCTGCCATTCCAACTAGGGTCAACCAGCTCTTCTGTTTGTACCTCTGGTGAGCCAGACTGCAAATCTTCAGGTAAAGCTGCAAGTGAATCTTCAGGTGAATCTTCTTCAGAGCCATCTGGAGAGTTCAGGCAGGAGTCTGCTCGTGACACAAACGAATTGTGGGCGGTGGTGCGGGCCATGCTGAGTCGAATCATCGCCCGGCTGATCCCCTGCAGCTCTGATACCACTGTGCTGATGTCGGGACGAGAGCGGGCGGCAGGGGCGGCGCAGCGGGTGGCGAGGCGGGCGAAGGAGCGGATGGGACGGAACGGCATGGACTGGGCGCTTATTGAAGGATCAAGGACCGCAGCAAGATCGTCGGTTGCTATGCTGGCTAACATCTGGTGGCGAGGAGTGGTGGAACAGGTAAGAGGATCAAGAGAGAGAGGAGGATGAAAGGAGGATGAGAGGAATTGGGGAGGGAAGACGCGGGAAAAGTATGAAGAGGAAAGGACGATGAACGTGACCTCTAGCAATGATGTTTCAGCACCTTGGAGTGGCTACCTGGGGTGAGGAAAGGCCCACCCACCTGGTGCACATCGAGGGAGACGGTGGTGCTGGTAGTGGCATGATCCGTAGTGGTGGCTGGGCAGCCTGAGAGCAGCTCTAGCATGATAATGCCCAGGCTGGATGGGTGAGGCCGAGAGGGGAGGCGTGAGAGGAGCGGGGTGAGACAGGAGTGGTGAGCGGTGTGGGGGTGTGAGAGAGTGACGGCAGGTAGATGGAGTTAAAGAACGGCTGAACGCATGCACGGCACTCTGCACCCATACACACCACTAAGAACCGCACCTAGAAAGCACACTGAGGAAGACTTATTTCTGCGCCCACTCGAACCACTAGGAACCACAATGAGAAATTACAGTGAAAAGTTCAAAGTGCGTGGTTCACAGGGAGCAACCACAGTGGGGAGACAATGGAGACAATAAGGAAACCCAACCATAGATGTCCGTGCGGGGGGATGGCCACATGCGCTCCCACCTTTTGAGACGTCTCAAAAGTCACCCACAATGGGGAGACAAATAAGGGAACCCACCCATAGATGTCTGTGCCGGGGGTTGACTTTTGAGGCTCCTCAAAAGCAATTGCACTGAGCACACACAGTGGGAAGACCAATAAAGAAACCCACCTATAGATGTCGGTGCGGGTGGTTGGCCACATGCGCTCCCACCAATCCGGGTCCCTATGAGGAGCTGCCACGTGGCACTGCTGAAGTAAGCAGGGAGAGCTGGGTAGGCCCTTGATAATACCGAGATTCGCCAACCGGGCCTGCAAGGGGTGGCGACAAATAACGAGATAGTGTTGTGCATCATATAACATGTGCATATCTATATGTATGTAGGGAAACATCATAACTCTCGCACGCACTCACCACAGGCAAGATGGAGGAGGAGCAGAGGCGGCGGTGCGCCAGGGGGGGCTGTGCGGCCTTTGGAGGCGGCTCATACCGTGTAATGTACACGTTACAGGGTTCTATAGCACATCATACGTAGACACACTCACCACGGGCAGCACTTCAAGGAAGACCGAGGAGGAGCAGAGGCGGCGGTGCACCAAGGGGGGCTGGGCCACCGTGTGCAGATGGCACAGCGCCTCTGCAATGGCTGTGGCTATGTCTAGACGCTGAGAGAAGGCCAGTGGTTGTGGGGACTGTGCGTCTGATGTTGCAAGGGGAAGGGGGGTGGGAGAAAGGGGAACCGGAAGCAAAATATATGTGCAGGGCCACTCGTACAGCAGCAGCAGCTCCATCCCCCCATCCATGATTTCAGAATGACAGCACGCTTTCATCAGCAGGATGTGCGTGCTTACCACTGTCCCTGCCCTGCATCATCAACTCCCTCTGTGCCTGCAAGCGAGCACACAGTGTCTTTTGGTCAGACCACTCGTACAGCAGCAGCAGCTCCCTCCCCCCACCGCCTCCTCTCCCTCCCACTGATGCTGGCGCCGCTGCTGCTGCTCCTGTTCCTGCTGCTTCTTCTGCTCTTCCTCCTGCTACTGCTGATGTTCCTGCTTCTGCTGCTCCTCCCCCATCTTCTGCTTCCTACGCCCCACTCCCTACCTTCCCCCCACCTGGTTCTGGTGCGCACTGTGTTCGCTTCATCCACCCCTTCCTTCCTTCCCTAACACCCTCCCCACCCTTTCCGCCCTTCCCTTCCTTCCCCACCCGCTCTCCTCCTACCTCCACTCGACAATTAGAAGGAGCAGCAGATTGGTCACCCGCCTTCCCTTTCTCCCCCCTTTCGTCCCCGTCCTCCTCTCCACCTGCAGTCCCTTCTGCTCTGCCTTGCGTCCCTGCTTGCCGTAACGCCTCACCCTCTGCTCGCCCAGAACTCTCACCTTCCCCCTCACCTCGCCCAGACCCCCCACCAATGCCGCGGCCCGCTCCCCCCCCACCTCCCCCCTGCTCCTGCGCGCCTCTCTTCCGCCACAGAATCTGCGCCCATTGCCTCATGCTCTCCCCCACTTGCCTCAGCCGCCCGCTGCCGCCCGGCTGCCCCAGAGGCTGGTCGCTCCAGCCAATCAGGTGCAGCAGATGGGGATGCGATAGACCAGAAAAACGGACGATCTGCCGTGTGTGAGTTGGCGTGGGATGGGCAAGTGTGGGTAGACAGATGTGCGGGTGAGTGTTGAAAATGTTGAAGTGACAGGAGAAAAGGTGGGGGGCGAGAGGTGGAAGGTGAGAGGTGAAACAGGATGGAAGACGGAACTTCTTGCTTCAAGGAAATGGAATTCTCTCAGCTTCACTCTCTATCACTCACTTCCTCGTTGAACGCTCTTCTCTTAGCAGCTGCGCCAGTCCAAGGCAGCCACGTGGCACCTGCCAAACCATCAGGTATGGTGGCCCGAACCACAAGCCAAGGCTCGCCCTCTGGTCCGGAGCAAGGGAAGGACTCGCCAAAAGGACCCGAACCAAGCTGATTGGTGGAGTGGGGAAGGGATGTGGACAGGGGAAGAGAAGAACTACAGGGTGTTGGAGGAAAGGTGGAGAGGTATGGAGAGGGGTACCAATGGGTGATCAGCAGTGCAGGGAGGTGGAGATGTGACGGAAAGTGCTGCAACAAGGATTAGAAGGTGAGTGAGTGAATGCAGGAGGGAGTGAGTGAATAGGAAGTGAGGGAATGAGCGAGTGAGTGGGTGAGTGGTGCAGAGGGACCGAGCGAGAGGGTGTGCGCAAGAACAAATGGGAGGGGAACGGAGGGGAGGGAAAGGGGGGTACCTTGAGCAGGGGGTCGTAGTGGTGGGTGGAGCGCGCGATGTAGTTTGCTAGAAACACCTCGTCGAAGCTGCTCTCTGCCCTCCTCGCTGCACATGGAAAGTGATCCGGTGCCATGCCATGCCATGCCATGCCATGCCATGCCATACCAAGCCATGCGGCATCATGCAACATATGGCACATGGCAGCGCATGGCAGCACACGGCAGCGCATGACAGCACACCACCAGCCAAGACCCTTGGCAGGGAGAGACGTCAGGCAGTACCACGGTGGTGAGGGAAGGAGGAGCAGCAACATCAGTAACCGTGAAACCACAACCGTGTAACACAAGCGAACCAACCAGAGGAAGCAGCGGGTGGGGTTATCAGAAACAGCAGCGCATGGGGGACCGCACCTTGTCGGCAGCACATGCAGAAACCGATGCTGGCTATAACGAGGATGATTGCAGCACAAAGGAGCGTGGCGAGGAACGATATGAGAAGAGGGTGCGTCTGCAGACGGCTGCTCCAGCCACCTGACAGTGTGGGGCGCGCAGGGGCGCGGGAGGGGAGGAGAAGGAGGCGGGACGAGAGGGAAGAAAGAGGTAAATGGGAGGGCGGGATACAAGGGGGATAGCTGTGGGGAGCAGTTGGGGGGTTGTAAAATGTCATTAAGGAGGGGAAATGCGAATTAAGTGTGAAAGCGAAAAGGCGACAGCGCGCATGCGCGGGGAGGGGGAGTAGAACACATTCACGGGGGAGGGGGCAGCGCGCATGCGCGGGGAGGGGAGGAAAGGGAGCATGCACGGCGGAAGGGACTTGCCAGAGGGCGAGGCGGGCGATTCTTGCAGAAGGCGACGCGAGACGCGTTGAAGCGCGTGAATGGAGTGATGCGCGTCATGCGCGAGACGCGCGAGAGGCGCGAGAGTAGAGTGAGGGGAGTGAGGCGCGCACGGGGGCTTCTCGTGCGGCAGGCTACTGCTACTGCCACGACTGCTGCCATACCCCAAGACGGCAACGACCATGAGTAGCGCTACCAAGGCTGGCGGCCGCCGGGTTAGACGCACGGGCGTATTCCGGCGAAGAACGAGGCGTGGCGAACGCACCCCGCCGGTGTGCGAAGTCGTTTTTTGAGGTGCCTCGAGAACCGAGCGCACTCCGGTGTGCACGGCGCGCGGAGCGGCGCGAGCTGCGCTGTTACGTGCCGCTAATGTGCCACTCAGTGCAGCGGTCGAATCTAGCTCCATCGCCGCTTGGCGAATCTCGTACGTATATTAGAAACCTTTGAACCCCGAAGCCTATTCATGAGCAAGATGCGGCATTTCTGTGGCTAAGCAGGGTCGGGACAACGCGAGACTGATACTGAAGCCGTGAAGCCACTGAGAAAATCGACGATTTAGAAGAACCCACACAACGAGCTTCGGTGCAGCAATGACGGTGACATGAAGACATCAAGGACGGTGGAGCCTGCTGTGTCTTAGAAACTTCGTTTCGGACAGGGGGGATCTCTAAATCCTGACTTGAGTACAGAGGACGTGAATGGGAGGGATTTCTGGCCTAGAACCATCAACAATTCTTTTGACTCCATACCGAGTTGAACCGTGAAAATCAATCTTAACCCAACTGAAACCATCCCAAACCATTTCAATCCCACACAAACTGATCGCACAGCGTTACATTTCATCCGCATCGCTTGTCGATTGCAACACCAATAATTGCTACCTCGAGACGCGGCCAGTTCACAACGGGATTTTTGACAGCGGTGCGTGAATATTTGACGTGTACAAGGAGCACACTTACGGTGCAAGGAAAATAACACGAACGAGTGCTTCTCGTACGGTAATTTCTTCTTTTGTTCATGAAAGTAGCTTATGGTCTAATAAACTGAATTAGATCTCAGTAGTCTAACAACACATCACAATATGGCCTACACACGGATAAAAACAAATTTACACCACATCATGCCCGATCATTTAAAACTCTTTGATCAGTTGTTGCCTGCACATGCCAAACGTCAACATTAGTGCAACCCAAAATCACCATGAACTGACTAACAGCACCAAAACAACAGATGCATGCAAATGGATATGCATCGAAGCAGCAAAACTCGAATTCTAGGACAAGCAGCAGGAGCCTTACCCTGCAGATACTGTAGTATCTCAAGCATGCGAATGAAGAGGTTGATGATGTCAAGATAAATGTTGAGGCTTGCCATCACATACTCGTCGTATGAGTACCCTGCACACACACGGAACAGAACATAGCGGCAGTAAGTAAATGCAAGCTCAAATGAAGATATCACTGCAGCCAGCCATATAAACTAGGGTAATAAGGGATCCAGCTCAAGTACTGTGAGATCAATTCATCGCACAACTGTGTGAGAATAATGTGGTTACTTACGCCTGATGATGAGGTCGGTGTCGTACACAATGAAGAGGGCGAAGATGAGAGCACCCACCAGAGCCAGAGCAAACCTGCACACGGGGAACACACACAGGCAGACATGGAGGTAGGTGGGAAAGAGTGGCATGAAACCCAGCATACGTGTCCGCAACGCCAAGAGCAGCAAGTATAAGAGCACCGAACAAAATTATGCATGCCCTCCTGTTTCACACCAGCAACTCGCCTTACGTATAAGAGCACGGACAAACATCTGCAAGTGTAACACTGACTGTTGAGAGCTAAGTTTGGAACTCACTCGCTGCCGAGGCCCCAGAAGATTTGAATGAAGGACCAGCCAAGAAGCAGCCAGAGGCTGACGTAGAGCATGGGACCCAGGTAGCTGGAACAGGGGCGGACGAGTGAACGACGAGTGGGAGGGGTGCAGAGAGATGCGAGACTGAGAGAAGAACTGAAAAAGCTGCCGCTATAAGTCCACGTATAGCAGAGGGGACATGTAACTAGAGCAAAGGGGACGGGGTGGAAGGGAGGGGGGGAGGGAGGAGACAAAGCGAAGAGAAGGGGGGAGAGGGGGAAGGAGAAGGAAAAGCAATGGAGGCAAGGAGAGGAATGGAGAACGATGAGAAGGCGATTGCATGGCAGGGCGAGAGAGATGAGAAAGGAGGCGGGAGCGTACCTGAACTCCTGCCCCTTCTTGACAGCATAGTAGGTGTACGCTGTGAGCCCCAGCACCACTGAAGCCGTAAGGCCGAGAGCCTCGGCCACTATGGGGCCTGGTGCGGGAAAAGCATTGGCAGGAGGGTGGGAGGGAGGGAGCGAAAGTACGAGTGGGTCGCTGGAAATATCTGGCCAGGAATGATCGAGGGCAAGGAAAGCTGACGGGAGCTTCAAAAAGTACAGAGAGCGATCGCAACATCGGAATGGAAATGGAACGGAAAGTGCAGGAGACGAGAAGACGTCAAAAAAATGGAGGGGGAGGGGGGGGTTGGTTGGAGAGAGGGGGGGGTGGTGGGGAGAAGTGGAGAATTGGGAAGGGGGACAAACAGAGAGGGCTTGAACGGAGCACACAGCGGAACCTTCCCAGCCCCACCCCACCCCACACCATAATCCCTCCTCTTCCCATTCCATCCGCCCCTTGTTTTCACACATCGCCAAAACCCAAGTACGACGCTTACCGCTGTACATGCTGCAGATGAGACCCACAGTCATGCTCATAGACGCCGTCTGCCCGGTCAGACACACGGGGGGAAGAAAGACGAGGAGGGGAGAAAGTGGGGTGGGAGAGAGGGTGCGGGAAGAGGGGAAAAGGGGAGGAAGGGAAGACGGGAAAGAGGGGAAGGGGAATAGAGGGGAAGAGGGGAAGGGGGAAGGGAGGAAGAGGGGAAGAGGGAAGAGGGGAAGAGGGGAAAGGGGGAAGAGCGGTGTGAGTGAGGACAATGGAAGGTGAAGAAAGGGCTCTGTTGTCAGACGGAAAGCGCAAAACGAGAAAATAGGATCGAGTCACCAGCGGGAGTTGAAAGCCGTACGCGAAAGCAGGGAACGGAGGAACATGCACATTAAGTGCCAAGATGACGTACCCAGATGGCGAGCAAGGCCAGGTTGAGAGGATGGCGAGACCGGTAAATGACGAGAGGAATGAGCGCTGCACACGGAACAGAGGAAGGACGTACGAGAAAATCTTACGCGGCCCATCGAAAACAAAAGAGCCGTCCTATCTAGCGTCGACCGTCACAATTAACTGAAGCAAAGAGATAACCCGGCATGAACCGAACATTTTGCTGGAAGGAGGCGACGATTGAAGCAAAGGACGTGCATGAGCGCGGAACGTAAGGCAAAAGACACAATGACGGAGGAACGTGGAGCGAGAGGAAGGGACGTACTGGCGAAGGGTAGGATGGTGGCGAAGAACATGAAGTATCCATTGGTCAGGCCGAAGTCGCGGACGGTTGGAATGAGAGCGAAGCACGATCCGACGGCGGCGGTGAGCAGGAGTTGTGCTCCAATGATGCCGTAGACCTGCAGAAGTGGAAGAATACGTGAGTGAATCCTACTAAGCACAGCAAAGCCATCGCACGCCTTCGCTTCGGCCCATCTACTCGCTCACTGATTAGCCTGCACGTTGGTCCTACAGGGAGTCACTATGCACGCCGCATATGCCAGACGCGCAATTAGTGAAGCCACGAGTACTATCTTAAACAAGCAGCGACCAAATGACGTCCATGGAAGAACTACAGGGAAAAGAAAAACCGCGAACCTGCCGCGAAGAACGTTACTGCATGCAGCATACCTTCCGAATGAACCCCCATCGCATCTCATTCTCGGACAGCGTGATTCCTGGGTACAGCAAATCAGACGACGGGCCCGCCTCCACGTCAGGTCGCTGATCCTTCATAAGGTGCGCGTCGACGGCGTGAGCGGCTTCCATGGTGGCAAGAGGATACTAGAACGAGGAAGAGGCGACGGGACAAGCAGAAACCACTAGAACAAGATTTGAATGCTAGAACTGAAGCGAGCCTAACTGGTTTGTCTGCTTGTTAACCATTGGCGTTAGGGTTTTATCATTCATTTTAGCCTTTAGCGAGGTTATGGGATGGGACGCGCGAGGAAGTAGAGCATAGTGGTAACCACGAGTTGCCATGAGTCATGTCGGTCGTGAATAATCCGTTCCAGCATCGCGGAAATGTGGGTCATGTGACCAATGACCATCATCGAAGCGACATTTGCGTGGACGGCAAGTTCGTCGAGTTTCCGCCCAGTCAAGTGATGTTCCGCATCAGCATCTGAATTTCATATTTGTACACTTTTCCAAATTTACACTACAGATGTTATCATAAAAAGCTCTCAAATTGTATTGCGACGAAACTAACTACAAAACCCGGCCATCCATTCCATCAAGTGGGCCAGCCCACATTCCCTTCATTGGAGGTAATTGAGCAGCGATCACACTCCAGGGAGGATATCCCACTCCACTAGCTCGCACACGCCCATCTAGTCGTAGAGAAATGTACCTGCCAGAGTAATTGTAGTGGATGTAAGTCAGTGCAGTGAGCTGACGAATGGCACATAGAAATATTCACGTGTATTGGAACGTAGAATGGAAAACACCGGAAAAGATAGGCTCGTGGACTTACACAGGAGATCCAGGAGCCACATTGGCAAACTTCATTTGCTCCTTCAACCATCTGCACGAAGCAAAGCAGAGCAATTAAACAACCAACGCAGCGCAACAGCTTTCCAGCTGCCTACCCATTAATGACTGCAGTTCTCACCTGTTCCACTCATCAGTGTAAGTTGGCCGGCCCATCCACCTCTGAAGCAACCCACTGGCAGCTGTAGCAGTTTGTGACGTAACACCCACCTCTCCCACCTTCCCCGCACCACTACCATCCCCAGCCACTTCACCTCCCCAAGCTGCATCCACCACCTCCGCAAACCCCTTAAAATCCCCAGGAAGCACAACATTCTCAGAAGCCGCTGCCCCTGCTTCAGCACCCACAGTCACAAGCGGAGCGACCACCACTGCTCGTTCCAGGAGTGCAGCACGGTACGGCTCGGCAGCAGCAAGGGCGGTTTGCACGTGGGAGAGGGGGCCGGCGACGATGATGAGGCGGCAGGAGCCCTGCAGCTGGGCGAGGCTGACAATGCGCCCTGTGGGCAGCTCTAGACGCAGCTTTGCCAGGGACTCCTCTCGAGTGAGCCGGTTCAGTGATGCGTCCTTACCCCGTGCGTCCGACCTACAGGTGTGGAAGGGGAAGGGATGGGAATGGATGGGAATGGGAACAGTTTTGAGTCGACCCAGAGCCCTGCAGCTGGGCCTTGCTCACAATGCGTCCCGTGGGCAGCTCCAGGCATAGCTTTGCCAGGGACTCCTCCCAGGTGAGCCGGTTCAGTGATGCATTATTTCCCCGAGCATCCGACCTTGGGGTGTGGGATGGGAAAGGATGGGGATGGGGACCGGGATGGAAATGGATGGGGACGTATCGTTTTGTGAGGGCAAGAACGAAGGGACTGGGAGCTTCGGGTGCAGTCTAGCCCGAAATTGCTGCTGGGTGAGTCGGTTCAGGGAGGCGTCCTTGCCTTTATTGCGATCGTGGGGGTTGGAATGGGGGTCACTGGGGTGTGTCTGGCTTGTAGCGGGGCTTTTATTGACGTATGTGGGTTGCCGGGGGAACAAAAATGGAATGATTGAGGAGCGTTCTATTCCCCGTCATTGTTGCTGCTGCCACTTGCTATTCCGTTCTTACTTGGGCTTCGGCTTGGATTACTACTGCCCGGTGCCGCTGTTCCCGACCACTTGAATTAGTGTCTGTTTCTTAATTCCTTCGTTTTCCATAGCGCCTAGGACGCCCTTTTCCAATAATTTCTTTTCAATTCTAGTTCCAACCCTTTCCTGTTCTTGACCCAATCGATCCTTCCAATTCCCCGTGCCTCACCGGTACAGGAACGCGAATATAGCGACAGCCGCCACGTCAATCCCGAGGTCCTTGAGCGAGTCCTGGATCTGCAGCGCGTCCGCGTCGCGCGCGCCCGTCGCGATGGCGAGCAGCGACGTGGCGGTGATGAGCGCGCCGATGGACGCGGACGCGATGAACGCGCCGTACAGGAACATGCGCACCGTGCGGAACGGGTTCAACACCTCCTGCCGCATGCGCGCCTCCTGGCTGCGGGGAACCGGCGGCGGGAGGAAGGCGGGGGAAGTGGGGAGGTTGCAGCGCAAGCGGGATGTAGTGGAAGCGGCGAGGCCGGAAAGCCGGATTGAATTCGACACGCATAAAAAAATTCTCTGCGCCAATTCCACCCGCACCCATCCCACCAATGCACGCATCCGTCACACCAGTGCCCGCGCGCTCGTACCTGTACTCTTTGCGCTCCTCCTTGCCGTCGCCGTTCGACCCGCTGGCACGGCACGACACCGCTCGCCGCTGCCGCTCCGCGCCATGCGCACTGGAGGGGGAATGCGGAAGGCGGCGAGCGCGGAGCGGCAACAGTAGCGAGCGGTCGAGGAAAGGCGCGACTGGCGGAGACTGATGCTGCTGCAGGTGCGCGTGGGGAACTAGAAGGCTTCTGGTTGCGATATAGCGAGGTTGAGAGCGGTTTGCGACGACGACATGAGAGGGTTGCTGTGAGGGAAGGGAGCGCGAGGGAGAGGATGGTGAGATGGGGGATGTGGTGGCTGTTGGGGCACGGCTGACAGACAACATCTTGTTGGTTGAAGTCAACGTTCGGAAGGAAATGCGACAATAATTAGGCAATGCCGCGGCCGCGAGGCTAATTGAGAACGGAGAAGGATACTACGCGTCGCGATTTCACTTCGGCTGGACCAACGCAAAATTGCAGTGCTGCAGCTTGTGACTTGTGTGAAATGATACTGCACTATCGCCTGTTGCTGGTCTGTTCTGAAGGGGCAGATTTTGGTGAAGGGTGGATTCGAGCAAGAATGCCCTTCGGACTGTGGTTGTGGAGAGGTGACTGTGGCAAATTTCCGACGTGTATGTTCTGCAATTGAGTTTTAGTGTCGTGGCGTGCTGTGAGTGCTCCATGCGCATCGCTGGAAAGCCAAACAAGATTCAGATGACCGACATTTCTATACCGCGTATGCGCCTTTCTTCTTGAGGATGCTCGAGGAGACGTGGAGCTCTCAAGGGGCTTCGAAGTTTCGATTCCCAAGGGCGCGGAGCTGATACAGTTCAGTGAAAATACCATACAGTGAAATCATAAAATGTTATCGGGGCTGTCGAGTTTGCCTTTGAATGCCTTGCGCGTTGAGCCATAATTATACGCACACCGTTTTGAACCGCATTCGAAGTCGAATTCCAGACATTCCCATCTCTCTACTTTTGTCGAGCCCTTCATTCTCCAAGCAAGCACAGCAAATTCGCTCGTTCCGAGGGGATTTCATTATTGTTCAGCAAACTGTTTCAACTGTTGCTGTGCTGTGCCGTGCTGTGCGGTGCTGTATTGTGGAGTTCCGCGCATGGTTGAATCAGTCAGCCATTGTTCATCGAGGGTTTATCAGACTGCGCTGCGGTAGCGTTCTTGGGTTGGTGATGTGAAATAACATTTCCAATCCGTCACCTACTGCAATCTTGCAATTCCTTCTGCAAGTTTTAAATTCGGCTCCCTGTTGTCCTAGAACGCACTAATAGTTTACTGCGCCACCGGAAAATTAGGACATCCGCTCGACAATATACTGATTATACATTGAAGGCCTATCAGCCATGGCGAGTTCCGCCGTTGCGCAGTCTACACTAACAGCGTCAGGAATCCAGCGCGCTTCTAGCATTCTCCTCACGCCTCGCTCGAGAAATGACGGCTCGACCATTACTCCAGCTCGAATCGCACACGTGTCAGCCCGTCACTGCAACCACCTCCGATCAGACCTCCTTCCAGGAAGCATATCCGCGCTTCGTTTCTCCTCCTCCGCTTTCCCCGTTCATCGCTCCACGTCGTCGCGCTTCGTTACAGTCACATCCGTTTTAGCGAGGGATGACGTGGTTGCGACAGGTGACGACAGCGGGTCGCAGGCTCAGCAGAGTCGCACGGAGTCGTTCTTGCTGGCTGTGGAAGAGGGAGAGAAGCGCGTTAAGGAGCTGGAGGGTAAAGTGGACGCGAAGCAACGCGCGCTGGAGCAACTGCAGGTATCTTTTCCCATTCGATACAGTCACACACGTTCCCTTACCCCACCCGCCTTCTCATTATCTGTTTAAAATATGTCTATCTCATTATCTGTTTGAAATATATCCAGTAGTGTTTTCCTTTCTGCGACAGGGGAAGAAAGAAGGAATATGTGCTTGAGTGACTAATCTCCGTTTGTTTATGTCGCTCGTATGAGCTGCAGGCTGACATCGACAAGCTCTATTTTGAGACCTTCGCTGGCGTGGAGATTGCAGCAGAAGCACCAGGATCAGGCGAACAGGAAGGGAGGGAGGAAGAGAAGGAGCAACAGCCTGCTGCCGACGTTCCCCCACGGGTGTTTGAGAGCATGAATGAGGAGGCGTGGGGCAATCTGGGCCGTTCAGAGCCATCCGTGTTGAAGGCCCTGATTGGTGAGTGGGAGGAGTCATGCAGCTTCGCTGGCGTCATCACTTGCACAAGACGCGGATTCAGGCTCAGAGCATCCATCCATGATTCACTCCTTCTGACCGTGGCACGAAAGCCAACACTGTCCTTGTTTGCAGATTCGATTGACTGGAAACTTCTGCGAGATGCTGGAGTTTCCAAAGGATTCCAGCTAATCTCTGTCCGCACGGAATGTTACCGCTCTCTCATGGGACAAACTTTCACTGATTCCTAACGGTGTTTCTCTGCTGTTCCAAATATGTGCTCGCTATGTTTAACTCCTGCACGCCATCACTCCCCCACTCCCAACCATCAGAGACGGTGGACCGGGCAGCATGGACGGCCTTCCAGAGGGAGGTGCACAGCCTGGCGCTCAGGCGCGATCGCACGCGGCAGGAGCTCAGGGCGCTCCTGGACCAGCTGGACGAGGCCCGCACTGCTGCTGCTGCTGTACGGCCCTCTTCACACTCCGCCCCTATCTCGCTCGCTCGCTCCCTTCCTCCCTCCCTCCCCCCCTCCCTCCCTCCCTCCCTCACTCCCTCAATTCTGAATGGATGGCCCCTTCGCTTGTGGCACGTACTGCTTGCCCTGACGTTTCATTCCTTGAAGGTCATCTTTCCGCAGCAGAAGCCACTGCTGCCAGCCACTTCCCCCTGACCCCCTTGCCTTTTCCCACCCCTTCTACTGCATCCCTCCTCCTTGCACTGCATCCGCCCCTCCCTAAACGCTCTCCCTTACTTTCTCAACGCCCACTGTTTTCCCCCACCCCCACCGCATCCCCCACCCACCCGTTTTCCTCGCCCCCACCCCGTCCTCCCCTGCACAGCCCATGGAGGAGACATTATCAGGGTCGGACTCAGAGGCGGAGGGGCCAGCAGCAGTGATCCCAGGGCTGGGCGCGAAGGGGGAGCGCAAGGTGGCGAGCATAGTGCTGGTGGCGGGGTTTGAGTCGTTCAACGTGGCGCTCTACAAGCAGGCTGCGGCGCAACTGCGCGCCCAGTGCCCTGGTGAGGGGAAGGGGTTGGGGGGGTTGGGGGGGTTGGGGATTGGGTTGGGGATGGGACGCAAGGGGCGGGTGTGTGGGTGGGGGGTTGATGGCACGCATGGGTTAAAGATGTTGCTCTGAGGGAGTGGGTGAGTGGTAAGTGGCTCTAGCTCGTGTCATTCATCTGTGCTATGCCCTAACTCCAACGCTAGATTCACATTCGGCGTGCTCCCATCTTTGCTATGAATCTCCTGTACCATGCAGGCATCCGCCTCTCTGTCTTCTCCAATCGGGACATTCTCTCCAAGAGCAGAGAGGTGCGTCAGACATGCAATCTCTCCTGCTCTTGTCTGCGCTGCGCCCTTTTCTGCAAGTCCTATGCCACGCCTGGCGCACATGCCATGCCCGCATAGGCGCCCTTCATGCATGGACTGGTCTTGTTCTCACCCCTTTCAACCTCCGTCACTCCGCCCCTCTCTTTATGTGTGCGTGTGAGCATGGCAGATGGAGGCAGCGCTGGCACGCGCAGATGTGTTCTTCGGCAGCCTTATCTTTGACTATGATGAGGTGCGCGCGCGGCACGGCTGTATTTTCATTTCATGACCTTCATGCAATGATATTTGTAATGCGTCTCTGTATGTCAGTCAGGAACACCTATCAGCTAGTTTTGCCTCTTGCAGAACACTCTCTTTTCATTCTTCCCGGCTACCCATGTTCTACCCCACCTTTCGTCTCGTCACTAGTAACCATCCAGCCATCACATAAATTCTGCTCTCTCCCCCGTCCACCACATGTCGCCCCGGTGTGCCTCCTCCCCCCACACGGCTGGCAGTGCGAGTGGCTGCAGCAGCGCATCAAGAGCATCCCCATCCGCCTCATCTTCGAGTCCTCCCTCGAGCTCATGGCCATGACCACTCTCGGCAGGTACACCACTAAGCTATCCACGGCAGGTACCCCTAGGCTATCTACGCACTGCATGGCTGCATGCATAGATGCATCCACATGGTGACATGTTCAGTCACCCATCCGCCTCATCTTCGAGTCCTCCCTCGAGCTCATGGCCACCACCACTCTCGGCAGGTACCCCACCACACATACCCTGTGCATGCATGCATCGACGCGGTGCACGTGCATCCCCTGTTACCTTCATCCCCAAAAGACTGCACTGCCCACGAATCGATACAAATACCCCTTTCCATCTTCTCCCCTCCCCAACGCTTCTGCCCTTGCTCTCCCCAATCCCCCAGCTTCGCCATGGTGGGCGGCAAGAGCCAGGGCATGCCAGCACCAGTGAAGGCCGTTCTCTCCAAGTTCGGAGGGGGCCGCGAGGAGGACCGCATGGTGGGGTATTTGAGCTTCCTCAAGGTCGGCCCCAAGCTGCTGCGCTCCCTCCAAATTCCCCTCTGCATCTTCTTTCTCCCCCTGCCCTCCCCGACCCCCCAGCTTCGCCATGGCAGGCGGCAAGAGCCAGGGCATGCCAGCCCCGGTAAAGGCCGTTCTCTCCAAGTTCGGCGGGGGGCGGGAGGAGGACCGCATGGTGGGGTACCTGAGCTTCCTCAAGGTCGGCCCCAAGCTGCTGCGCTTCATCCCGGGCAAGCGAGCACGGGACCTGCGCAACTGGCTCACCGTGTACGGGTACTGGAACCAGGGCGGGCTGGTCAACGTGGTCAACATGTTCCTCTACCTCGCCAATGAGTACCTGCTGCCCACGGGCATCACGGCTTCGGCTCCTGTGGAGACACCCCCGCTTGGGCTTTATCACCCGGACTACGGTGAGTTGACTTGATACCCCGACCCAGGTTGGTCAATCTGGTCAACGTGGTCAACATGTTCCTCTACCTCGCCAACGAGTACCTGCTTCCCACGGGCATCACGGCTTCGGCTCCCGTGGAGACACCCCCGCTTGGCTTGTATCATCCTGACTATGGTGAGTTGACTTGGGAAACTTCGTGTGACCACCCTGTCTGATCTGATGGCTGGCTTCTTCACTCACCCCTTGCTGCCATCCACCGTGCATCCCATGGCTCGTCTTCCATTTCCCAGCAAGCATTCCAGTTCTCCTTCTCCTGACATATACCCCTCTCCCATCCATCTCCCCCCCACCTTTCCCGACGGCTACTTCACCTCCCCCAGTGAGTACCTGCGCTGGTTCCGCTCCTCCCAGAAGAGCCTTCCTCCATCGGCGCCAGTGGTGGCGCTGCTGCTGTATCGCAAGCACGTGGTGACGCAGCAGCCCTACATCCCTCGCCTCATCCGCATGCTGCAGCAAGCAGGGCTGGTGCCGCTGCCCATCTTCATCAATGGCGTGGAGGCACACACAGTGGTGAGGGACCTGCTCACCACGGCGTACGAGCAGGAGGAGAGGCGCAAGGGCGTCATCATGACTTCGTCGCTCTCACAAGATGCTGTGATGGTTGATGCCGTCGTGAGCACGATTGGTGAGTGCTGTTGCTTGCTCCACTGGGTTGCTGCAGCATTGTTGAGGGACCTGCTCACCATGGAGCACGAGCTTTGAGGCGCCTCCACCCCTGCCCACCATCTTCATCAACGGCGTGGAGGCGCACACGGTGGTGAGGGACCTGCTCACCACGGCATATGAGCAGGAGGAGAGGAGGAAGGGGGTCATCATGACCCCGTCGCTGGCTCAAGATGCCGTGACAGTGATGCCGTCGTGAGCACCATTGGTGAGCTTGCTGACGACAGCATCAACTGGGATTTGCAGCACTGGCAAGCCCACACACATGTTCTGCTCTCACAAGATCTCATGCCACTTGCTTTGCTCCTCTAGTACGTTACTGACACCAAGACAGTCGACGCCCCATCAACACCATGTGTACTCATCACCACGTGTGCTCGCCCCATCCGCCCTTGTGCAGGATTCCCCTTGGTGGGAGGGCCAGCTGGTTCAATGGAAGGTGGCCGCCAGGCAGAGGTGCGACCCCGATCTCTCCACTGCTCTCTCCACTCTCTCTTTCTTGACCTACTCTCGTTCCTCTCACTCTGCTCTCGTTCCTCACGCTTTTTAACTGCCCAAAGGTGCTCTCATCGACCCCACCCTACCCACACTCAACCACTGTCCCTGCCACGTGGCCAAGTCCATCCTACTCGCCAAGAACGTGCCTTACGTGGTGGCAGCACCGCTGCTCATCCAGGACATCCCCACCTGGAAGCGTTTCGTCTACACTGCTTGTGTCCTTGGGCCGTTGGGTGATCAGACTTACGAAATCACAAGTATAAACACTCTACCCCATCCATTCCCCTCTATTGCCAGGTGGCCAAGTCCATTCTGCTGGCAAAGAACGTGCCGTACGTGGTGGCAGCGCCGCTGCTCATTCAGGACATCCCCAGCTGGAAGCGCGACGGCGTGCAGGGGCTGCAGTCAGTGGTGCTCTACTCGCTGCCGGAGCTGGACGGGGCCATCGACGCCATTCCGTTGGGGGGGCTTGTGGGCGACGGCATTCACCTGGTAGGCTGGGGTTAGACGGTATGCATGCACCTGGTAAGATGCAGTCACATCACGTGGCATAGGGCTGCAGTCAGTGGTGCTCTACTCGCTGCCGGAGCTGGACGGCGCCATCGACGCTATTCCGCTGAGAGGCCTAGTGGGCGCCGGCATTCACCTGGTAGGCTGGGGTTAGACTGTATGCTATGCATGCACAAGGTAGGCTGGGTTTTCCTGGTAAGATGCAATCAGATGGCACAAGGCTGCAGTCAGTGGTGCTCTACTCGCTGCCGGAGCTTGATGGCGCCATTGACGCCGTGCCTCTGGGAGGCCTTGTGGACGATGGCATTCACCTCAAACCTGCACCTCCAATCTGCACCTCAAACCTGCACCTCAAACCTGCACCTCAAACCTGCACCTCAAACCTGCACCTCAAACCTGCACCTCAAACCTGACGTCAAACCTGACGTCAAACCTGACATCAAACCTGACGTCAAACCTGTCCTCAAACCTGACCTCAAACCTGACCTCAAACCTGCACCTCAAACCTGCACCTCAAACCTGCACCTCAAACCTGCACCTCAAACCTGACGTCAAACCTGCACGTCAAACCTGCACCTCAAACCTGCACCTCAAACCTGCACGTCAAACCTGACCTCAAACCTGACGTCAAACCTGCACCTCAAACCTGCAGCTCAAACCTGCACCTCAAACCTGCACCTCAAACCTGACCTCAAACCTGCACCTCAAACCTGACCTCAAACCTGCACCTCAAACCTGACGTCAAACCTGACGTCAAACCTGACATCAAACCTGACGTCAAACCTGTCCTCAAACCTGACCTCAAACCTGACCTCAAACCTGCACCTCAAACCTGCACCTCAAACCTGCACCTCAAACCTGCACCTCAAACCTGACGTTAAACCTGCACGTCAAACCTGCACCTCAAACCTGCACCTCAAACCTGCACGTCAAACCTGACCTCAAACCTGACGTCAAACCTGCACCTCAAACCTGCAGCTCAAACCTGCACCTCAAACCTGCACCTCAAACCTGACCTCAAACCTGCACCTCAAACCTGACCTCAAACCTCCACCTCAAACCTGACGTCAAACCTGACGTCAAACCTGACCTCAAACCTGACGTCAAACCTGACGTCAAACCTGGCGTCAAATCTGACCTCAAACCTGACCTCAAACCTGACGTCAAACCTGCACCTCAAACCTGACCTCAAACCTGCACGTAAAACTTGACCTCAAACCTGCACCTCAAACCTGCACCTCAAACCTGACCTCAAACCTGACCTCAAACCTGACCTCAAACCTGCACCTCAAACCTGACCTCAAACCTGCACCTCAAACCTGCACCTCAAACCTGCACCTCAAACCTGTCCCTCAAACCTGACGTCAAACCTGCACCTCAAACCTGCACCTCAAACCTGTCCCTCAAACCTGACGTCAAACCTGACGTCAAACCTGACCTCAAACCTGACCTCAAACCTGACCTCAAACCTGACGTCAAACCTGGCCTCAAACCTGACGTCAAACCTGACGTCAAACCTGACAATAAACCTGACGTCAAACCTGACCTCAAACCTGACGTGAAACCTGACGTGAAACCTGCACCTCAAACCTGACCTCAAACCTGCACCTCAAACCTGACGTCAAACCTGCACCTCAAACCTGACGTCAAACCTGACGTCAAACCTGACCTCAAACCTGACCTCAAACCTGACCTCAAACCTGACCCCAAACCTGCACCTCAAACCTGCACGTCAAACCTGCACGTCAAACCTGCACCTCAAACCTGCACCTCAAACCTGACGTCAAACCTGACGTCAAACCTGACATTAAACCTCACCTCAAACTTGCACCTCAAACCTGACCTCAAACCTGCACGTCAAACCTGCACTTCAAACCTGCACCTCAAACCTGCACCTCAAACCTGCACCTCAAACCTGCACCTCAAACCTGCACCTCAAACCTGCACCTCAAACCTGACGTCAAACCTGACGTCAAACCTGACGTCAAACCTGACGTCAAACCTGACATCAAACCTGACGTCAAACCTGACCTCAAACCTGACCTCAAACCTGACCTCAAACCTGCACCTCAAACCTGCACCTCAAACCTGCACCTCAAACCTGCACCTCAAACCTGACGTCAAACCTGCACCTCAAACCAGACGTCAAACCTGCACGTCAAACCTGCACCTCAAACCTGCACCTCAAACCTGCACGTCAAACCTGACCTCAAACCTGACGTCAAACCTCACGTCAAACCTGACCTCAAACCTGACCTCAAACCTGACGTTAAACCTGCACCTCAAACCTGCATCTCAAACCTGCACGTCAAACCTGACCTCAAACCTGACGTCAAGCCTGCACCTCAAACCTGCACCTCAAACCTGACCTCAAACCTGACGTCAAACCTGACGTCAAACCTGACCTCAAACCTGACCTCAAACCTGACGTCAAACCTGCACCTCAAACCTGACCTCAAACCTGCACGTCAGACCTGACCTCAAACCTGCACCTCAAACCTGCACCTCAAACCTGACCTCAAACCTGCACGTCAAACCTGACCTCAAACCTGACTCAAACCTGACCTCAAACCTGCACCTCAAACCTGACCTCAAACCTGCACCTCAAACCTGCACCTCAGACCTGCACCTCAAACCTGCACCTCAAACCTGACGTCAAACCTGACGTCAAACCTGACGTCAAACCTGACCTCAAACCTGATCTCAAACCCGACGTCAAACCTGACCTCAAACCTGATGTCAAACCTGACGTCAAACCTGACATCAAACCTGACGTCAAACCTGACCTCAAACCTGACGTCAAACCTGACGTCAAAACCTGCACCTCAAACCTGACCTCAAACCTGCACCTCAAACCTGACGTCAAACCTGCACCTCAAACCTGACGTCAAACCTGACGTCAAACCTGACCTCAAACCTGACCTGAAACCTGACCTCAAACCTGACCTCAAACCTGCACCTGAAACCTGCACGTCAAACCTGCACCTCAAACCTGCACCTCAAACCTGCACCTCAAACCTGACGTCAAACCTGGCGTCAAACCTGACATCGAACCTGGCGTCAAACCTGACATCAAACCTCACCTCAAACCTGCACCTCAAACCTGCACCTCAAACCTGATCTCAAACCTGCACCTTAAACCTGCACCTCTAACCTGCACCTCAAACCTGCACCTCAAACCTGCACCACTTTTCTCCTGCCCCACTCCCACCTTTACCTTCCCTTACTTACTTAATCTTAGGTGCCCGAGCGAGTAAGGCGCCTGACATCGCGCCTGTGGAGTTGGATCAACCTGCGGCGCACAGCAAGGGCTCAGCGCAAGGTGGCCCTCGTGCTGTACGGCTTCCCCCCTGGCGTAGGCGCCACTGGCACTGCTGCTCTGCTCAACGTTCCCAAGTCGCTGGAGGCACTGCTGCAGCGCATGCACACAGAGGGGTGAGCTGCTGAGTGCATGAGCATGGGAATAGTATTGTAGGCAAGTAGGGCGCAGCGCAAGGTGGCAATTTGTGCTGTACCCCCCCCCCCCCTTAACGTGGGCGCCACTGGTCTGGTACTGCTGCTCTGCTCAACGTGCCCAGGTCGCTGGAGGCACTGCTGCAGCGCATGCACACAGAGGGGTAGGTGAGGGGTCTGAGGAGAGGGGTAAGGGGAGAGGGGTGAGCTGCTGACTCAGAGGAGTGAATTGGCATAGCTTTAAAGGCATGTTGGCACAGCTGGCTCTAACTCCATTTCAAATGGCAGACTATTTACCCTCTCGTCCTTCTAATTGCCGTGCTCTCCCCCCCACTTCTCCCCACTCTCCCCTGCCCCTCTTCTCCCCGCCCTCCCCTCCGCCTGCCCCTCACCAGCTACGACCTGGGCCCAGCAGGCGAGGCAATCGCACGGGGCGAAATCAACGGTGAGGATCTGATCGCGCTGCTGCAGGAGCTGGATGCGGACAGGGTGGTGTCAGCGGGGCAGAGAGGGCCGGAGCTGGCGCTCAAGGCGGTGAATGAGAAGCTGCAGCGCAGCGAGGACGGCCCCAGGAGCATTCCTGCAGGAGTGGTGCCCGTGGCAGAGTGCATCGACTGGCGGCAACTCAGGGACTGGATTGGGTGAGTCACAGCACTGAGCTTGTGGGTGAGAATGAAACAGGCTTAGTGTTTTGTTTGATAGAGTTTCTATGCAGAATAGCAAGCCACAAAGAACCAGAACATTAGACATGGGGCTCACCGCATGGCCACTCCCTCTCCTCCTGCTTCTTGGTGTGGGGCAGGGAGACCCTGACGTGGCGCATGGAGAGGGCGTGGGGCGAGCTGAGGAAGATCCGATCCATCCACTGCGACTCGGAGGGCAGGAGCGTTGTCAGCGGCATTCAGCTCGGCAACGTGTGGTGCGTGCAGTGCAGTGCAGTGCGGTGCAGTGCAGTACAGTAACTTCAATTCCTGCTTGCAGCAGCAAGGGCCTGCCTAATGCTGCTGCTGCGATCTGTACACAAGCAGGACGCTGTGAAAGTAGCAAATTGAACAAGTGATTAGATTAGAGGAACAACCTAGCATACATAGTTCGAAGGGAAGGTTGGAAGGGAAGGATGAAAGTGACCATAGGTTGGGTTGACCTCACTTGGGGAAGTGAGGGAACCATAGGTCAAGTGGGTTGGGTTGCCCACACTTTGTAGAAGTGAGGCAACCCTAGGCCCACTTGGCTTGGGGTAACCTCAATTGTGGGAAGTGAGGTACCCACAAGTCAAGAGGGTTGCATTTGGGGGCTCCACCACAATTGGGTGGATTGGCACCCCAAAGTGCAAGACTACACCCAAAGTTGGGTGTAGTCCCAACCCAACTGTACACCACAATTGGTGTACAGTCACATGTGTTGGCATGCTACACAATATATATTTTAACACAACCCCTTAGCATGCTAACACAAGAAGAGAACAACCCCTGAATCAAGGGGCGCCCGGGCGAGCAAGGCCAATGAGGCGGAGGAAGGCAGAGTGCGCGGGGCGAAGGAGGGCCTTAGTGAAGATGTCGGCCAAGTTGGCCTCGGTTGCAATCTTGCGAACGGCAATGAGGCCCTTCTGGACGAGCTCGCGAACAAAGAAGTAGCGGAGTTCGATGTGCTTGGAGCGGGCGTGATAGACGGGGTCCTGAGTGAGATGGATGGTGCTGGCGTTGTCGCACCAGAGAGTGGGGCACGTCTGGGGGGCGCCAAGCTCCGCAAGAAGGAAGCAGAGCCAGCGCGACTCCTGGGCGGCCATGGTGCCAGCGTAGAGCTCGGCTTCGCAGGTGGAGAGAGAGATGGCGGAGGAGCGGGTGGAGCGCCAGCTGATGAGGCCGCTGCCAAGGGTGAAGCCGTAGCCCTGGGAGGAGCGGCGGTCCGGCTGCGTGTCAGCCCATGAGGAGTCACTGAAGCCCGAGAGAAGGGGACGGGAAGGGCCGCCGAGGGTGAGGGCAAGGTCCCTGGTCCCGCGAAGGTAGCGGAGGACCCGCTTGGCAGCTTTCCAGTGCTCCTCAAAGTGACGACCGGTGCCGACAAAGCGAGCGAGCACGCTGATGGGGTAGGCGAGGTCGGGGCGGATGCACATCATTGCGTACATCAAGGACCCAACGAGCTCGGCATAGGGGTGGGGGGAGGAGGTGGGGGAGGTGGGTGGAGCGAGTTGGTGACCGAAGGGGAGCGGGGTGGAAACAGGCTTGGCTTGCGCCATGTCGAACTTCTCCAAGACCTGGCCGATGTAATGGGACTGGGAGAGAGTGATTGTGCGAGCAGGGCGGTTGCGCGTGATGGTCATGCCGAGGTAGTGAGTGAGGGCGCCAAGGTCCTTGCACTTGAGCCGCTGCTGCAGGGACAGCTTCACCTGCTCCATGTCGGCCTTGGTGTCAGAGAGCAGGATCATGTCGTCGACATATACCAGAATGAAGAAGCGGCGGGGGGAGGAGCGGATGAAGAGGCTGGCGTCGGAGTGGGAAGCAGAGAAGCCGAGGGACCCCAAGGTGGCAGCCAGCTTCGCATGCCACTCACGCGGTGCCTGCTTCAAGCCGTAGACGGGGCGACGCAGCTGCCAGACAGTGTTCTCAGGAAAGGCTGCGTGGAACCCGGGGGGGTCGTCGGAGGAAAATGCGCTCATGCAGGTCGCCCTGCAGGAACGCATTGGAGACGTCCATGGAGTCGATTTCCATGTCGTCACGTGCACCAATGTCCATGGCGGCGCGAAGGGTGGGTGGTTTGGCGGTGGGGGCGTAGGTGAACCAGTAGTCCTCAGCCCAAGTCTGCGTGAACCCCTTGGCGCAGTAGCGGGCCTTGTACACTGGTTCCTCGCCCGGCAGCTGCTTCACCCGAAAGACCCATTTGCCGTCAACGAGATTAGCGCCAGCAGGGAGGGGGACATCGACAAAGGAGTCGTTGCGAATGAAAGCCTCACACTCCAGGAAGATCGCTGCTATCCATTTATCCGCATCAGGGCAGGTGATGGCTTCCTGGAAGGTGGAGGGAGTGAAGATGGTGGGGGTAGTAGTGGCGCCAAGGACAGGAAAGCCCAGGTAGTCAAGGTAGAGGGCGGCAAGGAATGGAGTGTGCTCCCGAATGTTGAGGAACTCCTCATGGGAGTCCTCAAGGAGCTGAATGGAGGCAGGAGGAGGAGCCCCAAGGATTTTGTCCACCGAGCGGGTGTGGATGTAAGGGAGGAGGAAGGGGGAGGAGCGGGAAGTGGCACGGCGCCGCTGCTGCTGCTGGTGCTGCTGCTGCTGATGCTGCTGCTGCTGCTGCTGTCCCGGCTGCTGCTGATGCGGCTGCCCCGGCTGCTGCTGCTGCTGCTGCTGCTCCGGCTGCTGCTGCTGCTGCTGCTGCTGCTGCTGCCCCGGCTGCTGCTGCTGCTGCCCCTGCTGCCGTTGCTGGTGTTGCTCCCGCTGCTGCTGCTGCTGCTGCTGCTGGTGCTGCTGCTGCTGGTGCTGCTGCTGCCCCTGCTGTTGCTGATCCGGCTGCTGCTGCTGCTGCTGCCCCTGCTGTTGCTGATCCGGCTGCTGGAAAGGAGGAGAATGAGAGGAGGAGGGAGAGGGGGGAGGGGGTGCAGCTGAGTGAGCGGGGGAGGCGGGTGCGGCAGGGTCGTAGACGTCGGCAGAGGAGGAAGGCGGAAGTGGAGCGGCGACAGGTGGGAGGAGAGGCGCTGGAGGGATAAGAGGCGGGAGGATGGTGTCGGTCCAAGCGAGGGGGCGAGTGGGAGGAGGGAGGGGGTCAGGAGGAGGGGTGGAGTAGTAGGGAGTGGACTCGTCGAAGACGACGTCAATGCTGCGGATGAGGCGATTGGTGGGAGGGTGGAGGAATAGGTAGCCTGGGGAATCACGATTGTGCCCAAGGTAGACGCACTCCAGAGCGCGAGGAGCGAGCTTGCCAGCAGCGCGGGAGCGGTCGGCCGGTGGAATGAGGACGAACGCCTTGCAGCCCCAAACACGAAGGCCTGCGGCGTCAGGCTTGGCCTTGGACCAGAGTTCTGTGGGGGAGGAGGAGGGATGCTGAGGGTGGGAGCGGAGATTGAGGAGGAGGGCGGCATGAATGAGGGCATAGCTCCAGAGGGAGGGAGGGGTGGAGGCGTGAGCAATGAGGCAGCGCGCAATCTTGGTGATCTCACGGATGCGACTCTCAGCGATGCCGTGTTGCTGAGGGGAGTGGGGAAGGGTGGTGGTCTGCTGAATGCCGTATGTTTTGCAGTAAGTGGAGAGAGTATGATTGATGAACTCACCCCCACCGTCAGAGTGAAGGCGGCCTATGGGACGTTTGAAGTGGTTGCGGCACTGCTCAGCCCAGTTGATGACCACAGCCGGCACCTGGTCTTTCGTGTGAAGAAAGAAGACGGTGGAGTACCGACTGTGGTCGTCGACGAGCACGAGCATGTACCTGTGCCCCTGACGGGAGCGGATGGGGTAAGGGCCCCAGAGATCCATGTGAACAAGGTCAATGGGGGCGGGAGCGAAGGTGGGATGACTGTGATGGGGGGACTGTTTGAGCTTGCCATGAATGCATGATGGGCATGGGGGAGCAGGGGAGGAGGGGAGGGGAGTTAAGGTGGGAGGAAGGCTGTTAAGGAGGCGAGAGGTGACGGTGGAGCGAAGTGCGGCGAAGTTGGGATGGCCGAGTCTGTGATGTAGGAGCACTGCAGGATGGGAGAGGGCAGTAGAGGAGGAGGGGGATGGGGTGGGGGAAAAGTTGGGGGGGGAGGAGGAGGCGGATGGAGTAGAGGAGGAGGATATCGGAGGAGGGGGAGGGGGAGGGTGAGGGGGAGGGAGAAGGGGACCGGTGGAAGTACCAGCACGAGTGGTGACGTGACAAAAGGAGGGACGGGGTGTGCGGAGCGTGTAAAGGCGAGTGCGAGGGCAAAGGGGAATGCGCAGGAGGAAACGACCAGAGGCGGTGTGGTAGAGATCGCAGTAGGAAGCAAAGCCAGGGTATATGGCGGTAATGCCAACGCCTTGGAGTTCACGGTGGGAGAGGAGGTTATTGCGAAGGGTAGGGATGTGGAGACCGGTGACTGTACCGGATGGGAAGGCGGTGCAAGGAAGGGTGGAGAGGTGAGTGCAGGGGATGGAAAAGCTGGAGTCGGCACCATGAACCTGGGTGGGAAGTGGAAGGGGGGTGAGGGTGCCAGCGTCTTTTAGTGCGGTTTCGGTGGCCCCACTGTCAAGGACAAAGTCCAGGGTGGGGGGGGAAGGAGAGGGAGGGAACACAGAGTACTGGAGAGTTGTTTCATGGATAGAAGAGGGAGAGAGCGGCGGGTGCTGCTGCTGGAAGTACTGTTGCTGCTGCGGCTGCTGCGGTGGGAGAGACTGTGACGGTTGCGGCTGGAGAGATTGGGCTGCTGCTGCTGCTGGAAGCACCGCCGATGCTGCCGCGGTTGCTGCGGCTGGAGAGATTGTGGTGGCTGCTGCTACTGGAAGCACTGCTGCTGCTGCGGATGGAGAGAACTGTGGCTGGTGCTGCTGCTGGAAGCACTGCTGCTGCTGCGGCTGAAGAAACTGTGGCTGCCGCTGGTGCTGGAAGGACTGCTGCTGCTGCGGCGGAAGGAACTGTGGCAGCTGCTGCTGCTGGAAGCACTGCTGCTGCTGTGGCTGGAGAGACTGTGGCTGCTGCTGCTGCAGGAAGGACTGCTGCTGCTGCGGTGGAAGGAACTGTGGCAGCTGCTGCTGCTGGAAGGACTGCCGCTGCTGCGGCTGGAAGGACTGCTGCTGCTGGGGATGGAGAAACTGTGGCGGGTGAGGCTGGAGAGATTGCGGCTGCTGTTGGTGTTGGAAGAACTGCTGCTGCTGCGATTGCCGCGGCTGGAGGAGATGTGGGGGGTGCGGCTGGAGAAATTGTGGTTGCTGCCGCTGCTGGAAGTCCTGCTGCTGCTGATGCTGGAGCTGCTGGAAACGCCGCAGATGGGGAGGGGGGGAGGGGGTGAGCAGGCGGAGATAAGGGGGGGGGGAGGAGTGGAGGGTCGGAGTGTTGAGAAGGGAGGGGCGAGGAGTAACACTGCTCCAGTGAGGAGGGGGGAGAGGGGCAGGGGGGGTAGCAGTCATGATGGGCGACGGCGGGTGGACCCGCGGCGGCCAAGGGTGAAGTTGCTGCTACGGAGGCTGCTGCACTTCCCCTGCTGCCGCTGCTGCTGCCGCTGGCAGGAGGAGGGAGGGGGGGGGGGGGGGGGGGTAAAGGAGGGAGACAGCGGTGGAGGGCAGAGGCGTTCAAGGTGCAGGGAGCGACGGTGACAAGGGCGCAGGCGGCTGTGCGAACGTGCGGCGGCGGGAAGGGGAGGCGGTGGCAAAGTCGGGGGCGGCGGCAGCGAGCAGGCCGCGACGACGAGGGGCGCAGGCGACGGCGGAAGGGCCGCGGCGGCGAAACGAGGGACGGCGGCGGCAGGCAGGCCGCGGCAACGAGGGGCGCAGGGGGAGGGGGAGGGGGGGGGAGAGGAGTAGGGAGAGGAGGAAGGGAGGGTGCAGTTGCGGCTGAATCTGCAGGCGGCGACGGGGCAGTCACGGCGGCAGGAAGTGTGGGCGGGGATGGCGCGGTCGCGGTGGAGGATGGGCAGGCGGCGCCGAAGCAGTCGCGGCGGTAGGGCGGCGGCGGCGCAGTGGCGTTAACGGGAACCGCGGGGCGAAGATGTTGCAGTTGCGGCGGGGGAAATTGCGGGAGGGTGGCGATGCAGAAGGGGCAGCGAGATGCGTGGGTGACGCGGAAGCAGGTGCGGCGGTGGGAGGGGAGGCGGCAATGCGAAATCGCGGCGGGGGGGGGGGGGGGGGGGGGGGGGGGGGGGGTGGGGGCGGGGAGGTGACGACGAGCAGTCGCGGCGGCGGAATGCGCAGGCGGCGATGTTCGGTCGCGGCGGCGGGACGGGCAGGGGGCGACGAGCTGTCGCGGCGGCGGGACGGGCAGACGGCGCCGAAGCAGGCGCGGCGGCGGGAAGGGGAGGCGGCGACGCGACGTCGCGGCGGAGGGACGGGCAGGCGGCGACGAGGCGTCGCGGCGGCGGGAACGCGGCGACGAGACGTCGCGGCGGAGGGACGGGCAGGCGGCGACGAGGTGTCGCGGCGGCAGGATGCGCAGGCGGCGCCGTAGCAGGCGCGGCGGCGGGAACGCGGCGACGAGACGTCGCGGCGGAGGGACGGGTAGGCGGCGACGAGGCGTCGCGGCGGCAGGATGCGCAGGCGGCGCCGAAGCAGGCGCGGCGGCGGGAACGCGGCGACGAGACGTCGCGGCGGAGGGACGGGCAGGCGGCGACGAGGCGTCGCGGCGGCAGGATGCGCAGGCGGCGCCGTAGCAGGCGCGGCGGCGGGAACGCGGCGACGTGACGTCGCGGCGGAGGGACGGGCAGCGGGCAGGCGGCGACGAGGCGTCGCGGCGGCAGGATGCGCAGGCGGCGCCGAATCAGGCGCGGCGGCGAGAAGGGGAGGCGGCGACAGGGGGTCGCGGCGGGGGGGAGGAGGGGACAGCGGCGTTGCGCTCGCGGCGGTGGAATCCGCAGGCGAGGAAGGCGTAATCGCGGCGGGAGGGGGGGGGAACGGCGGCGACGGCGTAGGTCGCGGCGAGAGTATGCTAGTGATGGCTAGTTGAGCCACGCGTAGGAAAGGGTTTGTAGCTGTGGGGTGGGCCCATGGGAAAAAAAAAAAACTGAAGGGAGGGAGAGGTAAGGCCTAGGAACAAGTAGCTCTATACCATGTGAAAGTAGCAAATTGAACAAGTGATTAGATTAGAGGAACAACCTAGCATACATAGTTCGAAGGGAAGGTTGGAAGGGAAGGATGAAAGTGACCATAGGTTGGGTTGACCTCACTTGGGGAAGTGAGGGAACCATAGGTCAAGTGGGTTGGGTTGCCCACACTTTGTAGAAGTGAGGCAACCCTAGGCCCACTTGGCTTGGGGTAACCTCAATTGTGGGAAGTGAGGTACCCACAAGTCAAGAGGGTTGCATTTGGGGGCTCCACCACAATTGGGTGGATTGGCACCCCAAAGTGCAAGACTACACCCAAAGTTGGGTGTAGTCCCAACCCAACTGTACACCACAATTGGTGTACAGTCACATGTGTTGGCATGCTACACAATATATATTTTAACAGACGCATCTCTCTCCTCACCTCCCCACCTCTCATTCCGCAACCCACCCACTCCCCCTTTTCCACTGTGCCCCAATGATTCTTCTCCTATACCCTGCTCTCCATTCCACTTCTCTTCTCCCACCGCCACCTGCCCTGTGTGCTACTGTCTTGGCAGGGTCGGAGTGCAGCCAGTGCTGGGCTTGGAGGGAGACCCCATGCGCCTGCTCTTTGAGCGTGACCTCACTCCCCACCCCGAGGTACCTGTTCCTTGTGCTGTCACTGTTCTTTCTTTTGTGCAATTTTCTCCCGTTCCGTTTCTGCATTTACCCCTTGGCTCTTCATTCATGGTATCATTCCGCTGACCGTGCACTGTCTTCAACCCTCTGCTGTCCCGCCATCCCACCACCCCTCTGCTGTCCCGCCATCCCACCACCCCTCTGCTGTCTCACCTTTCCACGACCCCTCTGCTGTCCCGCCACCCCCCCACCAGTACGCGGCCTTCTACAAGTGGTTGCAGCAGGGCATGCAGGCGAATGCAGTGGTGCACTTTGGCATGCACGGCACTGTGGAGTGGCTTCCTGGCAGCCCGCTGGGGAACACAGGTATGGGGGATGAGGAGTGGTATGGGAGCATGAGGAGTGGTATAGGTACCATCAGGAGTGGTATAGCATGGCATGACATGGTATCGCACGTGTGTGTTTGCGTGTCCTCTTCTGTCTCTCCTCCCTCGCCCTTCATCTCTACCTCCCACTCCACCTGCCGCCTCCTTGCCCCTGTCTGCAGGCCTGTCTTGGTCCGACGTGCTCCTGGGTAACCTCCCCAACATGTGAGCCCCGCACTTGAAGCTACACACTAGTCAGTCAAATTACTATTCTGTGGTTGCAGAATTTTGGGACGTCTTGACCAGTTGCAGTCATATCCATCGCTCTCTCACAAGCTCTCCTGCTGCCTGCCCTCTCCTGCCTGCTCCCTCCTCCACCCCCACCCCACCAATCGCACCTCCACCACCGTTGCTCCCTGCCTTCCATGCGCCATCAACCTCCCCATCATCCCCCCCCACCCCCTTTTTCTCCTTGCAGCTACATCTATGCGGCCAACAACCCCTCAGAGTCCATTGTTGCCAAGAGGCGCGGCTACGGCACCATAGTGTCGTACAACGTGCCTCCGTATGGCAGGGCAGGGCTGTACAAGGAACTCGCTGGGCTGAGAGAGCTGGTGAGTTGTGAGGCGCCTTGAGCAGAGAGGCACCATAGTGTCATACAACGTGCCCCCGTATGTGAGAGCGGGGCTCTACAAGGAGCTCGCTGGGCTGAGGGAACTGGTGAGAACTGGTATGATAGAGGTGGGAGAAGGGGGGGGGGGGGGGGAGGGGGGCGGTGCCATAGTGTCTCGCAACATGCCTCCGGAAGGGAGAACAGGGCTGTACAAGGAACTCGCTGGGTTGAGGGAGGTGGTGAGTTGTGAGGTGCCTTGACCCTCTCACGCCTCACGCTTTCCCCGTTGTCATTCGATGTCCCCTCACATTGACTGTCTCCGACAAGACAGTCGTCACACATGCATGTTTCTGTCCAAGATGCCTCAACATATTTCCGCCCATCCCCCCTCTTCTGTGTGCAAATTTTGAAGTTCTTGGACGACCCCGTGAGAAACAATTCTCGGTGTGTCTAAGTCACTCCAGGAACGCCTCTTTTATCTCCCCTCTGCCTTGTGCACGTGTGCGTGCAGATTGCAGAGTTCCGGGAGGACCCAGCAAAGAACGAGTCGTTAAAGCCGGCCATAGTAGGGGCGCTGGTGACGGCGGGCATGCAGGCGGACTGCCCTTTCGTGCCCTCTGACGGCTCTAGCAATGGCGAGGCGGTGTTTCTGGACGAGGAGAGCATTCAGGAGGTGTCTGAGGGGGAGTTTGAGAAGTACCTCGTGAAGCTGTATGAGTACCTGGTGAGTCAGTGTCTGAGTGAGGGGGAGAGGAAATGTGTGAGTGGAGGAGTGAGTGAGTGAGAGGATGTGGGAGTTACCGAGGCAGCACACAACTTCCTGCAATACTGTCACAACCCCCTTCTCTCATCTCCTGTCTTTTCCTCCTCCATGATTCCCCTCCAAACGACGTCCATCCCTGTTGTTGTTCTGCCATCCTCCCTGCCCCAGTCCCCTCCTATCCCCCAACTCCCCCCCATTACCCCCACCCCCAAACGCCCCTTCAATTTCCCCCAATCCCTTCCCCCTCAATCAGGCGGTGGTGGAGAACCGTCTGTTCTCGGAGGGGCTGCACAATCTGGGCCGTCCACCCAAGGAGAAGCAGATGGAGCAGTACCTCTCAGCTTACTTTGGGGACGACCTGGATGATACTGCTATTGAGGCTGTCGCTCACACCCATGGCGACCTGGCTGAGGTGCATGCTGATGGGTGATGGTGTGGGTTGTGCGGGGTGGTGGAGGGTGATGGAGAGTGATGACGAAGGATGATGGGAAGAGTGATGAAAAGAGTGGTGCAGATAGGGATGGGTGGAGATGCAAGGTGCGCTGGGATGAAGCACTGTAGGCAGGCTGTTCTCCTAGGACCGTTTTCTGATCACTGTATCTCTCTCACTCTTTCTGACGTGCCTCTTTGACCATGCCTGCCCCACCATGCCTGCCCCACCATGCCTGCCCCGCCATGCCTGCCCCACCGTGCCTGCCCCACAGGTTCGGCAGCGCTTGGAGCAGCTGTACCTGAGGGACGGCGTGGCGCCACCCGCACGGGATGCTGAGGTGGACGCACGTGTGGCGGAGGCAGTGAGCATTCGGCAGCTGCTGGCGCGCAACACAGAGGAGCTCGATAACGTACTGCGAGGACTGGATGGTGAGATAGAGCAGAGTACATTTTTTTTAAGGGCCGGGGTGGGGCAGTCAGATGCATGGTGTCAAGGCAGGTGGAGGGGAAGGTTGGATGGTAGGGACAGGGGGATGACTTCGAGTCGTGCAACTGCACTCTCAGCTCAGCCATGGTTGTTGCTTCCTCTTCCGTCCATCTCCTCCCTTGACCCCTCTGTCGGCCCTGTATGTCTGCAGGTGACTATGTGCCTCCTGCTGTGGGTGGCGACCTGCTGCGAGACGGCCCAGGTGAGGCCCCACAGGCGCACCCTGTGAGGTGCACCCAAAATCATTGGGTATTTTTAAAAACTGAAACCCAGCTGTGGGTGGCGACCTGCTGCGAGACGGCCCAGGTGAGGCCCCACATGCGCACCCTAAATCATTGGGTATTTGTAAAACCTGTCAGATATGAGAACTGTTGGACGAGGCCTGAAACCTCTTCTTACGGTCAGCTCCCCATCTCTCTCTCCGTCCATCCATGCCCCAAGCTGCATGCTCCTCTGTACCCCATTGCTATCCCTCCCTCCCTCCTCGCCCGTTACCCTTCACCCGTTCTTGAGCATTCCTTACTTCAAGAAAACAACCTGTTTCTCCTTGTCCTGACTGTATCCTTTCCCCCTGCTGCATGCTGCGTGTCCCGTGTGCTGTGCTGCGCTGCAGGAGTGCTGCCCACGGGGCGAAACATTCACGCCTTGGACCCCTACCGCATGCCGTCAGCAGGTGACTACCAACACATACTAATTCCCAAAAGCAATTCACACTCGCTGGTAGCAAGCTGCATCACTTGTTTCCGCCATGCGGCTCGGCATGAGCCCCCCTTGCAGTCAATCTGGCTACCGTGCTCGCTGCTGGAGAGCGAGGGACCAAATGTGCCATGCATGTGTGTGTCTGAACGCGTTTTTTGCTGCCCTTTCACTCCCTCTCATGTACCTTCATCCACTTCATTCACTTAATCTCACTCACTCCCACCATGCTCTCCTGACCTTTCCACTCTCGCTGCTCTCATTGCTCTCTCCTCCATCTCCCCCCTCTCCTCCATCTCCCCAGCGGCATGGGAGAGGGGCAGTGCCATAGCAGCCAACATAATTCAGCAGCACCTGGACCAGCACGGCACATACCCTGAGACCATCGCAGTCATGCTCTGGGGTCTCGACGCCATCAAGGTGGGTGGGCTTCAAGGCGCAAAACGAGATCGTCATGCATGCTGCACTGCTGATATTGTTGTTTGACTTGTGTAGTCCAGATTGCCATTGCACTTACGCGACCCGTCCCTCCACGCCCCCCACCTGCGTGCCGCCTTTCCTGCCTTCATCAGACCCGTGGCGAGTCCGTTGCCATAGCACTCGCACTCGTAGGGGCACACCCAGTGAAGGAGGTGAGTTGGGAAAGCGGTGCCTGCGATGGTGGAGAGAGCGGATGAAGGTATGATACATGTTTGACTCAGAGAGGGCTGTGTAGATGACCTTGATGAGGCCATTAGCAACCCTACAGTACAGCCACTAAGGTTTGCTTGCAATCAGCTGGTGCTGGCAGCTGGGCTATGGAATAAATGCCCCCCAGGGCGTGAGGTCAGCATGCACCACTCAACCTTTGCATGCCCTGACTGACAGCCTATAACGAAAGGGGAAGAGAGGGGTAAAGATGCCCCGTTTCTATTCCTACTGCACCCCAGCGGGACTGTGCAAACGAAGTGCAACAGCGTCCAGTTCCACACAAGTCATCATCTCTCACTCCTCTCTGCTTCACCCCTGCAGGGCACGGGGCGAGTGGTGCGGTTTGACCTCACGCCCCTGGAGCAGCTGGGACGGCCGAGAATAGACGTGCTCGCTAACCTCTCAGGCATCTTCCGAGACAGGTGAGGCCTTTAAGGCACACGTGAGCAAGTAGCATAGGTCTGAGGCACTGCTTCTTCCGGTGGTACACTAATTCCAAGCTGCCGCCTCCTATCTTGCCTTCTTCCACCTGTCCGAAACTATGCGAGAGCTAGTCACAGTGCCTACCTCCATCGTCTCTCGCTGTGGTGGAACTGGAGGTTAGCAACGCGACATCCCACCACCCTATCCTTCTCGCCTGTTCCCGCCTCCTCCCCCCCCTCCCCCCCAGCCAGTTTCACCAACGTAGGTGGAGCTGTTGGAGGATCTGTTTAGGCGAGCAGCCTTCTGCGTCTACTAAGCACTTCCCTGCCCGCACTCCCTTGCGCCCACTTTTCCGCTCCCACTACTTCCCCTCAACCAGTTTCGCCAACGTGGTGGAGTTGTTGGACGATCTGTTCCGGCGAGCAGGAGAGGCGGACGAGCCGCCAGAGATGAACTTCATCCGCAAGCACTCGCTGGCTCTGCAGGTGCTTGCTCTCACGCACACGCACTTGCTTGCTGATTGTCTCCAGTTAACTAAAAAAAAACACTCCCTGTCAGTCACGGCATATGTTCTCAAGCCGCCAGAGATAAACTTCATCCGCAAGCACTCGCTGGCGCTGCAGGTGCCTACTCTCACTTCTCACGCACTTGCTGGTTTTCCGTAGTTAACAAAAAAGCAGCACTCCTTGACACTGCATGTATTCTCGTTCACTTGGCTTTGGAATCTCTGGCTCTGAAAGCTTAGCTCTCGGGCGCGGAAAGCTTATGTCTAGAAAGTTCCACCTTCGTTGCTGATGATGTGTGACCGTGCAGGCAGAAGGCATTGACGCGTCAACGGCCAGGATCTTCTCGAATCCAGCAGGCGACTACGGATCAATGGTCAATGAGCGCATTGGCGCCGCTGACTGGTTCGTTCCTCCCCTTCACCCCTGCATCCTCGCCTTGCCTCCCACTCTGTCAGCCCTCATTATTCCTCTGCGTCTTTCCTCACATGCACCTCTCCTACTGTGTTCTTACCATGCAGCCATAAAATCTGCCACAGAACTTGTTAGTGTCCCTATGCTCGCTGCTACGGAACATGTTTCATCCCAACTCCTCGCTGCTCTCCTCCACTCTCCCCGCACTCTCCTCCCCACCCTCCTCCCCATCCTGCCCCATTACTGCACGCGTGTGACATGGGCGTGTGTGCGTATTGCAGGGAGAACGGGGAGGAGCTGGGGGACACGTGGCAGTCCAGGAACTCGTTCAGCTATGGCAGGGGCGAGCAGGGCGTCGCTCGACCAGAGGTAGGGGCGAGCAGGGCGTCGCTCGACCAGAGGTACCTTGCTGCTCCATACCACTTGCTGCTCCACCATTCCGCCTCGTCACCATTACCATTCCGCCTCGTTACATTACCATTCCGCCTCGTTACCATTACCATTCCGCCTCGTTACCATTATCATTCCGCCTCGTTACCATTACCATTCCGCCTCATTACTACTACCATTCCGCCTCATTACCATTACAATATCGCCTCATTACAATTACCATTCCGCCTCATTACCATTACCATTCCGCCTCATTACCATTACAATATCACCCCATTACCATTATTTTTCCGCCTCATTACCATTACCATTCCGCCTCATTACCATTACCATTCCGCCTCGTTACCATTACCATTCCGCCTCGTTACCATTACCATTCCGCCTCATTACCATTACCATTCCGCCTCATTACCATTACAATATCGCCTCATTACCATTACCGTTCCGCCTCATTACCATTACCATTCCGCCTCATTACCATTACCATTCCGCCTCATTACCATTACAATATCGCCTCATTACCATTACCGTTCCGCCTCATTACCATTACCATTCCGCCTCATTACCATTACCATTCCGCCTCATTACCATTACAATATCGCCTCATTACGATTACCATTTCGCCTCATTACCATTACCATTCCGCCTCATTACCATTACCATTCCGCCTCATTACCATTACAATATCGCCTCATTACCATTACCATTCCGCCTCATTACCATTACCATTCCGCCTCATTACCATTACCATTCCGCCTCATTACCATTACCATTCCACCTCATTACCATTACAATATCGCCTCATTACCATTACCATTCCGCCTCATTACCATTACCATTCCGCCTCATTACCATTACCATTTCGCCTCATTACCATTACAATATCGCCCCATTACCATTATTATTCCGCCTCATTACCATTACCATTCCGCCTCATTACCATTACCATTCCGCCTCGTTACCATTACCATTCCGCCTCGTTACCATTACAATTCCGCCTCATTACCATTACCATTCCGCCTCATTGCCATTACAATATCGCCTCATTACCATTACCATTCCGCCTCATTACCAATACCATTCCGCCTCATTACCATTACCATTCCGCCTCATTACCATTACAATATCGCCCCATTACCATTATTATTCCACCTCATTAACATTACCATTCCGCCTCATTACCATTACCATTCCGCCTCGTTACCATTACCATTCCGCCTCGTTACCATTACCATTCCGCCTCGTTACCATTACCATTCCGCCTCATTACCATTACCATTCCGCCTCGTTACCATTACCATTCCGCCTCGTTGCCATTACCATTCCGCCTCGTTACCATTACCATTCCGCCTCATTACCATTACAATATCGCCTCATTACCAATACCATTCCGCCTCATTACCATTACCATTCCGCCTCATTACCATTACCATTCCGCCTCATTACCATTACAATATCGCCTCATTACGATTACCATTTCGCCTCATTACCATTACCATTCCGCCTCATTACCATTACCATTCCGCCTCATTACCATTACAATATCGCCTCATTACCATTACCATTCCGCCTCATTACCATTACCATTCCGCCTCATTACCATTACCATTCCGCCTCATTACCATTACCATTCCACCTCATTACCATTACAATATCGCCTCATTACCATTACCATTCCGCCTCATTACCATTACCATTCCGTCTCATTACCATTACCATTTCGCCTCATTACCATTACAATATCGCCCCATTACCATTATTATTCCGCCTCATTACCATTACCATTCCGCCTCATTACCATTACCATTCCGCCTCGTTACCATTACCATTCCGCCTCGTTACCATTACCATTCCGCCTCATTACCATTACCATTCCGCCTCATTACCATTACCATTCCGCCTCATTACCATTACCATTCCGCCTCGTTACCATTACCATTCCGCCTCGTTACCATTACAATTCCGCCTCATTACCATTACCATTCCGCCTCATTGCCATTACAATATCGCCTCATTACCATTACCATTCCGCCTCATTACCAATACCATTCCGCCTCATTACCATTACCATTCCGCCTCATTACCATTACAATATCGCCCCATTACCATTATTATTCCACCTCATTACCATTACCATTCCGCCTCATTACCATTACCATTCCGCCCCGTTACCATTACCATTCCGCCTCGTTACCATTACCATTCCGCCTCGTTACCATTACCATTCCGCCTCATTACCATTACCATTCCGCCTCGTTACCATTACCATTCCGCCTCGTTACCATTACCATTCCGCCTCGTTACCATTACCATTCCGCCTCATTACCATTACAATATCGCCTCATTACCATTACCATTCCGCCTCATTACCATTACCATTCCGCCTCATTACCATTACCATTCCGCCTCATTACCATTACAATATCGCCCCATTACCATTATTATTCCGCCTCATTACCATTACCATTCCGCCTCGTTACCATTACCATTCCGCCTCGTTACCATTACCATTCCGCCTCATTACCATTACCATTCCGCCTCATTACCATTACTATATCGCCTCATTACCATTACCATTACTATATCACCTCATTACCATTACCATTTGTACTATTCTTGTGCCTTTTCCTGCTTTTGACCAACCAGCGTATCACTTGCCGTCCTAGAGCTTCCCTGGATTATCTGTGGAGTATGAACTTATGGACATGTCTCAGTCAGCTCCTTGTACCAACTCTCTCCACACACCCCCTATCCCTCCCCACCCCTACCCACCCCATCCCACCCCACTCCACCCCTCCCTCCTCCTTACAGGTGATGCGCAAGCTGCTGCAGACAACAGACCGCATAGTGCAGGAGATAGACAGCGTGGAGTATGGGCTGCCTCTTCACACCCTATCCCACCCCACCTCACGCCACCCTACTCAACCCCTTCCCGTTCCAGGTGATGCGTAAGCTGCTGCAGACAACGGACCGCATAGTGCAGGAGATAGACAGCGTGGAGTATGGGCTCACAGACATCCAGGAGTATTATGCCAACACCGGTGCCATGAAGAACGCTGCTGAGACCGCCCGCAATGGGGCCAAGGTAGGTAGTGCACTGCACCGCACTGCACTGCACTGCACTGCACTGCACTGCACCGCACTGCACTGCACATGTGCCTTAGGATTCGAGTCTGAGGTGTAGGAGATAGCAGCGTGGAGTATGGGCTGACGGACATCCAGGAGTATTATGCCAACACGGGTGCCATGAAGAACGCCGCTGAGACCGCTCGCAATGGCGCCAAGGTAACGCACTATGCTCCATGCTCCCCTCCCCTCCCATGCATGTGATGTGAGTCGACTCAGAAGTCATGAAGAACGCTTACTGGGGCGCCATGAAGAACGATGCAGAGACCGCTCGAAACGAGGCCAAGGTGTCGCAATGCATGCCGCGCGCCATGCTCCCCCCCTCCCCTCCCGTGCTCTCCTCTTTTCCCGTGCTCCCCACACCTCACTCATTCTGTCTGAAACACAGATTCATCTCATAAGCCCTATGCATAACACATAACTTCCTTCCCTTCTTGTCCATTGCCGGCCCTGCACGCTCACAGGTGTCGTGCAGTGTGGTGGAGACATACGGCAAGGACCTTCGCCCGCGCGACCTTGAAGCCACACTGCGGCTCGAGTACCGCTCCAAGGTGCGATGGCCAGGTGCAGGGTGTTTCAAACCTCCTGCTTCGATGACTCATTGCACGGGTCAGAGCCCCAGCTGCGTTCTCTGGTTCAGCTCCCACGCCATTATACCTCAGGCTTGGAAGCCGTGCCATTCTGCGACTGTGGGGGAGAAGGTGAGGGGGGAGTACAAGATATTGCCCCACATGATTCGTGACTCACTAAGTTCTCATTCCCTACCCTCTCTTCCCTACCCTCTCTTCCCCCTCCCCACCATCCCACCAGCTGCTGAACCCCAAGTGGGCGGAGAAGATGGCAGCGCAGGGCAGCGGGGGCGCATACGAGATATCACAGCGCATGACGGCGCTGCTGGGGTGGGGGGGCACCACGGGCTTTCAAGAGGACTGGGTGTTCGACCAGGCTGCTGATACTTATGCTCTCGATGACGCCATGGCCGCTAAACTCAGGAAGAACAACCCTCAGGTGCGTGTGTGTGTGTGCGTGCATGTGGCTCTGTGTGCGTGCATGCGTGTGTGTGTGCTGCTGCTGGGTTGGAGTGGCACTATGGGTTTCCAGGAGCACCCGGTGTTCGACCAGGCCGCTGACACCTATGCACTCGATGACGCCATGGCCGCTAAACTGAGGAAGAACAACCCGCAGGTGCGTCTCTGTGTGTGTGCGTGCGTGTGTGCGCTAATGTTGGGGTGGGGAGGAATGTTGGGGTGGGGAGGTAATCCGGAGCGCCCTTCCAATGCGTCCCTACGGTGTGGTCCCTTGCCCTTGTCCTATGCATGCACCATGGCACTGCAGGCTTTTCAGAACATTCCAAAGCGCATGCTGGAGGCAGCAGGACACAGGCCTTCATTTTCCTGAACCTTCAGTTTTGTCCCCTTGGCTCTGTTTCGTGCATGCACCCACCATGGCACTGCAGGCCTTCCAGAACATTCTGAAGCGCATGCTGGAGGCAGCGGGGCGGGGCATGTGGCAGGCGAACGACGAGGTGATTGAGAAGCTGAGGGAGCTCTATGCTGAGATGGATGATGAACTTGAAGGGGTGAAGCTGCGCTAGTGAGCAACCCTTCACTGATCAGTGATGTAATCGTGGAAGGATGGGCAGGCGGGGGTGATTGAGAAGCTCAGGGAGCTCTATGCTGACATGGACGATGACCTTGAAGGGGTGAAGCTGCGCTAGCGAGTGACTCTTCATCGTTGAATAGTTGTGTATAGTACTGTAGTAGTGAGAATAAACGTTGTAGCAGGCTGCAGGCGAACGACGAGGTGATTGATCAGCTGAGGGAGCTCTATGCTGAAATGGACGATGAGCTTGAAGGGGTGAAGCTGCGCTGATGAACATCTGTTATGTGACTGTCTAAATATGCGTTCTAGTAAACTGTATGAATTTATGGTGTAGCATGGGCATGTAAATGACCAGACGATTGAGCCAAGGGAGCTCTATGCATTAGACAATTGCACTAGTTCAGCAACTCTACTATCGATAACCCGTTTGAATGGATGTTGCATAACCAGGCAAGCCGTACCAATTGCTACAAAGAATCATAGGCATTCCGTATGTCATGTCATCTGAGGGCACATGCAGTATATGCAAGTAATTTACGTTACATTCCCCATATATGAAATCACAACATTTTACAACAGGTGTTAGGCCCGACGGCCTAAGTCCGCTAAAGAATTAGCGGGGTCGACTAAGTCGAGGATGAAACGCGGCGGAAGACTTTGGCGAAAGAACTATTAGCGAAATAGGCGAAGAAGTTACTGAGTAATTGAAGAAGAGTTGAATGAGAATTGATTGATAATGTCAAGTACAAGCAAGGTTTAAGTAGCATGCAAGAAACAAGGTTGGAAAGTAGATTGTGGGACTAGGAATTGTGAACAAGGCTTACTTTATCAGACATTTTTGGTCTGAATTTCTGGATTCTGAACACATTTTTACTGGGTCATCTGATGTCGTAGACATGCTGTTTAATTTCGTCTGATTTTTAAGAGAAGCTTTTTCTATTCATCTGATTTCTCAGACAGCCTTATACAGTTCGTCTGAGACTGCAGATATCGAGTCTTTTTCGTCTGAAGGCAAAACTCTTAAAGCGACGGGCAACTTTTGGCAGTGTTGGGTTCGGAAGTTTTTTTTTTTAACCAGGCTTGCCAGCGCGAAAGTGCTGGCTGGCGAAAACCAGGATTCCGTGCGGACACTTTCCATCCGCAGTAACAGTTCGCCAGGGTTCTGGGTTTTGGGTGGCAAATGTGCACCGTCGCTTTAAGGACGTATGCACTTGCCTGGCAGATGCAGGAGACAAGATTCGAACCGGCAACCTCAATCTTCACAACTCCCTCTTCTACAAGCTGGACCATTGGGACTGGTACTTGATTTTCTTATTCATATTTTGATAGTATAATGCTTGCTAGCTTTATATCTTCTCAGAAATCTCAGACAAGTATTTAGGATTCGTCTGAAAAGCTAGACAATGTTACAGCTTTCGTCTGACAATCAGACAAGGAGCCAGGACCCGGTCTTGACATCAGACGGGTCATTTTACTAAAGTTAGCCCTGATTGTGAAGCTAGAAAAGTAGAGTGCCACGTGGCATTAGAGAATCTGAGAAGATAAGGATAAGGGCAGGCCCTACGATATCAGGAATCTTTCCCTGAAATTCCTGATTTTCAGCCTAGTTTTGTGTACCTACACTGAATTTTCAGTGTTGAGATTTTTGTGACACTGATTTTTTCAGCCTTTACTTCATAGCTAACACTGATGTTTCAGACTTTTATCGAAGTGTACACTGAATGCACATTCCGAATCCTTCCCATAAAATACCCGAGACAATAAGTCAACCAAGATTTCCACATAATAAAATCCTGTGTTAAAAAATACAACTGGCTTAGTGGTTAGCGAAGTAGATACCGATTGGTAAGGTTTCCGGATCGAATCCCTCTACTAACGTGTTCGTAAAGGCTACTCTCTTGCATAATTGCATGATGTGATTGAAAATTCAGGCTTTTGTTTTCCGGAACCCTGAAAATTCAGGCTTTTTTTTTAAGGAACCCTGAAAATTCAGGTTTTTTTTCACAGGGACCCTGATGCATCAACGTCCCTAAAAGTGAATCTGAGGGCCTGGATAAGGGTGAATTGGAAAGTACTGTTCGGAATGAACAGTAAATCCCCCCTTAACACTACCCCCCTCCCAAGGAGGCGACGTCCGCGACGCCTGCAGACTGGAGGTACGATTGGAGGCAAGCGTTGTCAGGAGACAGTGAGGACGAAGGAACCCAGCTGTCGTCTGCTGCGTCGTAACCACGCCAACGAACCAAGAAGTCGATGAAAGAGACACCCCCCTGAAGACGGCGACGGTGCCTGAGGATGCGCTGGATCTGGTAGTCGGGCTCGTCGGTGTCAACAGCTACCGGCAGTGGAGTGCGGTCACGGCCCGAGAAGGTGGCGTTGGGATCGGTGTAAGGACGAAGAAGCGACACGTGGAATGACGGGTGCATGCGGAAATGAGCGGGAAGGCGGAGGCGGTATGCGACTGGACCAAGTGCGCGCTCAATGACGAATGGACCAATGAAACGTGGACGAAGCTTGCTGTCCTGTGGCAGTCGGAGGTTGCGGCTATCCAAGAGAACACGGTTGCCGACTGCGAACGACACCTCACGACGACTGCGGTTGGTGGTGCGTGCCATGCGTGCATTTGCGAGCTCAAGGTGCTTCCTCACGTGATCATGAATGAAGGTGAGATGCTGATGGAAGTTGTCCGCACGAGGGACAGTGGGTGTGAGATCGACACGAGTGGGGACATTGGGGTGCTGACCGTAAAGTGCAAAGAACGGTGACATGCCTGTGGACGAGTGGTGCGTGTTGTTGTATGCGAACTCGGCCATGCTCAGCTTCTTGTCCCATGCGGCTGCGTCGTGCATCGTGATGCTGCGAAGGATCTGCTCCAAGGTCTGGTTCACACGCTCGGTCTGTCCGTCTGTTTCTGGATGGTACGCAGACGACATGGCTAAGCGTGTTCCAAACAGTGCGAAAAGCTGCTTCCAGAACTTCGAAGTGAAACGAGGGTCGCGGTCTGAGATGATGGAATCTGGAACCCCGTGCAGTCGGACTACGTTATCTACGAACAGCGTCGCGGCTTCCTCTGCTGTGACCTTGCCGTGCGTGGGGATGAAGTGCGCTGCTCGAGAAAACTTATCCACTACTACGAAGATGGCGTCGTGACCCCTAACTGTGCGCGGTAAAGCCATGATGAAGTCCATGGTAACTACCTGCCAAGGGCGGTCGGGCGGTGGAATCGGCTGCAAGAGTCCTGCTTTGCGCTGGCGAGAGGACTTCGTACGCTGGCACGTGTCGCACGAGCGAATGTAATCTTATACGTCTGCTGCAAGCCCTGGCCAGTAGTACGTGCGACTAAGCGTCTTAGCCGTCTTATCTGCTCCAAAGTGACCTGCACTAACTACGTCGTGCGCCTCTGAGAGAAGGAGCTGTCGAAGAGGGCGGTAGGATGGAACCCAAATCCGTGTGGTACCCTTCCGTATGTAGACACTACCCTGCACCTCTGCTCTTGCAGGCGGCTGCGGTGTGAAGTCGGGATCTACTGTGTAACCGTGCTCGAAGAGTGCTGTGAGAAGTGGATGGCCGGCAGTGACTGTGAGGCTGGCGAGCTGGCAACTAGGGCGAGTGAGCGGATCTGCTGGGATGCGAACGCCTGGCTTGTACTATATCCTGTAGTGAAAGCTCCCCTCCATGAACTCCATCCATCTAGCCTGGCGACGACTCAGCTGCGGCTGCGACTTGAGGAAACGAAGCGAGCAATGGTCCGTGCGTATAACACTATATGCCCCCTCTAGGTAGCACCTCCACACCTTATACGCATGGATGATCCCGAGCGCCTCCTTGTCGTGTATGGGATAGTTCAACTCTGCTCCCCTAAGCTTACGCGACTCGTACGCGATCGGCTGCAACCCGCGTCCCTGGTCCTGAAGAAGCACTGCTCCTATGGCCTGATCGGAAGCGTCGGTCACTACAACGTATGGGCGAGTGGGATCAGGGTACGACAGTGTTGGTGAAGACGTGAGCGACTGCTTCATCTGCTCGAACGCCTGCTGCTGCGCTGGACCCCAAACGTACTCTACGCCCTTCCGAAGTAGGTCGGTGAGTGGACTAGCGATCGATGCGTAACCCTGAACGAAATGACGGTAGTAGTTCGCGAAACCGAGGAAGCTCTGCAACTCCTTGACTGAGGTCGGTGCTACCCAATCCTGTACTGCTGCGATCTTCTTCGGGTCGGTCCTAATGCCACTAGCGGATACGACGTGTCCTAGGAACTCGACCTCAGGGAGAAAGAATTCGCATTTCGACTGCTTAGCGTACAGCTGCTCCCTCTGTAAAACCTCGAAGACCTTCTGCAAGTGCTGCACGTGCTCCTCTTTCGTCTTGGAGAATATGAGAATGTCGTCTAGGTAAACTACAACGAACGAACCTAGGAACTCGGAGAGGACGGTGTTCATGAGCGTCTGAAACGTCGCTGGGGCGTTGGTCAATCCGAACGGTAGAACCCTAAACTCGTACAACCCCTGCTTCGTACGAAACGCCGTCTTGTGCTGGTCCTCTGGAACTACGCGAATTTGGTGGTAACCCGAACAAAGGTCGATCTTTGAGAAGACTCTAGCGCCCTGCACCGCATCTAGGAGATCCTCTACTCTCGGCACCGGAAACCTATTCTTGACGGTGGCGGCGTTCAGTGCGCGGTAATCTATGCACATCCGTAACCCTCCGTCTTTCTTGGGTGCGAAAAGGATTGGTGCTGCCCAAGGCGATCTAGATGGCTGAATGAAACCCTGCGCGAGAAAGTGCCTAACCTGCTGCGTCATCTCCTCTGTCTCTGCTGGACTCAACCTCCACTGCGGCTTCGCTACTGGCCTGCTCCCCGGCTCTAACTCTATCCGATGGTCGACTGCTCGGCTAGGAGGTAACCCTGGGGGCAACTCGTCGGGGAAGACGTCTGCGAACTCTGCTAACAGTGCACTCACCTCAGCAGAAAGAGTCGTCTTCTCACTAACT